AAACCCAAGCAAAACATAAGCAAAGAACAAAACTACCAAATTAAAAAACCCAGATTGTTAAAAAGTACACATTTTATAGTTACAAAACTAAACATTTTCCCACTTTTATATAAGGATAAATTTTTTTCAACCCAGATTTCAAAATTTGAACCCAAGGCGTCAAACAAAAACCCAGATCTGGGGGTAAAAAAACCATCAATGGCAGCCCTGGCTCAGACTAGGGCTGGATTTACTGTACAGAGAATCAGCACGATCCAATCATTTCATTTACGCCGTGTCCACGAAGAAAACACTGACAAAGAGATCTTTCCAGAACCAACACAATTTTCCACTGTTAGCCGTCTGGACTATTTAGATCGAGAAATCTGGGGCAAGGTTAGCTTTTGTCCTTGTTGTTACCCTTCGCCCTCCCCCGCGTCAGTTAGTTCGGGTCACAGGTCATAGACAGACCTGCTGTTGGCGAAGTCAACATTAAGCTAAAGCTTCCGACATCCGGATAGTGACGTATATGGCCACTCAGGTTCACAACTTCAGATGGCAGACCCCAGGAGAGATTTCTCACGGAGATAATCGTCACAGCTCGCCAGGATTCTCTCTCCCCCTTCCCCCAGTGACATGTATTTGTAGCATTAAATGTTATTAATTTTATGTTTGTTTGTTTGTTTTAGTATCCAGAAGCCATGAGTTGTTAACCCTTAGGCTCGGTATTATGGATATCGCAACCTTTCAGCCTTGATTCCATGATAAATACCGTAAATCTGAAAGAAATGTGGCTTTTCTGCCTACCCCCGGGAGTGAACCCGGACCACAAGGAGTTCGTCACCCGGTCACCGCGCCATCCGGTTTAGCCAACTACGCTAGAGAGCCGGGGATTCATTTTATAAAATGAAGTTTAAGCCTTCTATATCCGGTTCTTCATCTCTGCGATACATTTTCCATCAAATGCGGCCCTTTTTATCACCATTTACCACCACCATTTCCATCAGTAACTGTCTGTAGTTTTTTCTTACCTGTCGCTGAAGATTTACTGAGAAGGGGATCCGTGCATTTATGGACTGAATGGTTCGATGTGGAACGAGCAAAATCTAACTAACCAGGGAGGTAATTGGTATAGACTTCATTCACGGCTCAGCATATCTGTAGGATGATGTCCCTTCAAGTGAACGTGTCACGTGATTTGATCATGTGACGGGAGGTAAAAATAGCCAGGAAGAGGAGCAGACGAGACGGACAGGCAGGGAGCGGGGACGTCCACCAGGTACTAATAGTACTATAGTTGTTGTGTCTTCTTCTCTCAGCTGTTGTCGTATAACTGTTTCATTTTAGTTCTCTCTTGAGACTACACAGGTTAGATTTCGACAGCAGTTACACGCCATGAGACTCGTCGTTCATTTTACAATAATTGATTTGAGAAGATCTGGACATTTGAGCACGTCAGTCAACTACGGTAGTTAGTTACTACTTACTACTTGTTTACAGAACCTAATTCGGATAGGGAGAGAGAATTAACTGACATTCGGTCAGCTGTAAACATGAAAGAACACTGACCCGTACACAGCATCATTTATGGGAAACTGAAATACTTGGCCAGTTTAAATCATATTAGATTCGGGGGGAATGGCGGTGGTAATTTTTAGAGAGCTTGGATAAGGAGTGAGATAGGAGTTGATCAGCTAACATGGGGGCACATGTGGTAGGGGATGACTAATACCGGACTGGACAGAGTGCATGGGGGCACATGGGGCAGGGGATGATCAACATGAGGATGGACAGAGGGCAGGGATACACATGCGGCAAGGGTTGATCAACATCAGGCTGGACAGAGGAGCAGTTATGGTAGCAACCATCTGCACAGGACTGACGACACCATGGTGATATTGATGATTGTAACAAGTAGTTACTAGTTACAGACAAATCTCTGGCCTATCTTGGCCCTCAAGGAATGCATCACAGTTACTATCAACTGACTTGTACTGGTTTTCAATTTACCATTGGCCAGTATAATAACGCATAGTAACAATGCAGAAAGTATAACAATGCACAGTATAACAATGCAGACAGTATAACAACGCAGACAGTATAGCAATGCATAGTATAACAATGCAGACAGCATAACAAGGCAGACAGTATAACAACGCAGACAGGCAGTTGTTAATTGTATTTCCTGTTCTTTGTGCGTGATGTCACAAGTATTGACCATTAGGCTTATTTAAAAAATGTGGTTAAAAAGAATCAAATATAGCATGTTTTTGAAGTTTTACTGAATTACTGTATGTGGGAAAACAGTTTGGCCTCCTAGCAGACTTCTTCAAGATTTATGACTTTAGAATTTTCATGTTTAAATAAAACACGCAGTTATCAGAATAAAGTTACGAATTAGAGTTGTTGCAATAATTGATAGAGTCAAACTTTAATGAGGGATAACTCAGATATGTACGTCACATAAAACCTACAGGAATAACAAAGTCTGCTGGTACAATGAGAGTAAATATTGGTGAAAAATGCACTATTCTTCCGTGTCAGTTAGGTCTTTTTAGGCCCTTTGCCTTGGCTGGCAGCTGGTCTAGGAGGAAAGCTTCGACAGGTGAACATATATAGCAATGCTCTTCTGAATTGGTCTATGATTGATCCACGGGCACCTGACCAAACTGTAGATCATGTTAAATAAATTTATAAATAACAATCGGTTAGTTTGATTATCTTATTTTACATTGTAAACAGTGTCAGACTATGGTTGTTGATTGTTTGACCCCGCAGCAAAAGGTTGTTTAAACTGACAAATGCTTATGTCTCTCACTGCCTAGGACACTTAGACTATGATGATCCATCTTTAGATGGGCCATGGTTAGCAAACTTGCTGTTTGGCCCAGTGATCAAAGGTTTGAAGCCATGCATCCACAGCTTTGACACATTGTGGTGTTGACATCCCATGCTGAACCAGACTAAACTGGCATCAGCAAATGTTCTGGGATGAAAATTAATCACATCACTTCTTGAGTGTTATTTGTTCATACAAATGTATTGCTTGAAGCTCACACATATTTGAAGTTGTATTACCATATAACATGTTTTTCTAGACAAAGACATGCTCCAAATTCCTAGCCCCGGCTCTAATATTCAACAATTTATTAAGAATATGAAACTAAAAACCACCAGTCTTGATGTTGTCCCTAATTATCATCAGACTTCTCCAGCCAGGAGATAGAACAAAACCACCAGTCTTGATGTTGTCCTTCATTGACATCAGACTTCTCTAGCCAGGAGACAGGACAAAACCACCAGTCTTGATGTTGTCCCTCATTGACATCAGACTTCTCCAGCCAGGAGACAGAACAAAACCATCAGTCTTGATGTTGTCCCTAATTGTCATCAGACTTCTCCAGCCAGGAGACAGAACAAAACCACCAGTCTTGATGTTGTCCTTCATTGACATCAGATTTCTCCAGCCAAGAGACAGAACAAGACCACCAGTCTTGATGTTGTCCTTCATTGACATCAGACTTCTCCAGCCAAGAGACAGGACAAAACCACCAGTCTTGATGTTGTCCTTCATTGACATCAGACTTCTCCAGCCAAGAGACAGGACAAAACCACCAGTCTTGATGTTGTCCTTCATTGACATCAGACTTCTCCAGCCAGGAGACAGGACAAAACCGACAGACATGAACATCTGCTGTATGGAATCAGATCAGAAATCAACAGCATCCCCAGGCCCTCAACAGTTGCCCTCTGCTGGCTGATTGTCCACAGTGGAATGGGAGAGCTGATACCTAGTCTCCAGTTGGCAGCAGAATGCAATAGTTCACTTACATGTGGCTATAAACATCTTAGTTCCCTGCAGTGAATTAGTTCACTTACCTGCAGCTATAAACTTCTTAGTTCCCTGCAGTGAAACAGTTCACTTACCTGCAGCTATAAACCTAATAAAGTTCCCTGGATATGCTGGGGTGAAAGGAAAACTAAAGAACCAACAGACTGGCAGTGTGGGCAATAGTTGATTGAGGAAAAATATTGACAGGGAAAACATACTGAATGCACTGTGCTCTAGAGTCATTGACACAAGCCAGCCAGAGTTGAAGCACCTGTTGGAAGGGGTGTTAAATAAGGTGGACAAGCATGGCGACACTGGCTGTGGGGCCAAGGAAGGAAATCTACCAGTCTACTCCTTCTGAGTACAACCAGCATAAAGACACTGGGAGGACTACTGCATCTGAGGACAGAGCAGGTGTGGTTACCAGGGATCTGCTAGGATGGCCAACAGGTACCAGTTTAGAGAACAGAGATGGATAATAGAAATGTGGGTCAAAGATCTGGATAGTAATTAGCCATGATACCATGTCCTGGCACAAGGCCATGTTTAATTAAGTTGACAAACATTTGATGTGCCAACACACCTGTGTCTGGGAGACTCTGCTGACACACCAGCCTGCTGAACAGCAGTGCCAGTAACACAGCATGCTGACTTTTGTAGCTTTTCTGTCATCATCATCTTTGACTTCAACTTATGTGAGACCATGTTTCTAATAGTCAGAATAGCAAGTTAATCGTTCATTAACCCACATTTCTTATGTTGAGAAGTGTGTTAAACCTAGGCTAAACCATGTTTCTGATACTGAATATTGTGTTAACCCTAGTTTAAACCATGTTTATAATGCTGAGATTTGTGTTAAACCTAGTTTAAACCATGTTTCAGATATGGATAATTAAGTTAAACCTGGGTTAAACTGTGTTTCTAATACCTATTGTGTTAAACCTAAGTTAATACCATGTTTCCTATACTGAGAATTGTGTTAAACCTAGATTAGCCATGTTTCTAATATTGAGAATGGTATTAAACCTAGGTTAAACCATGTTTCTAATACTGAGAATTATGTTAAACCTAGGTTAAACCATGCTTAGACTGTGCTGCTGACAGTGGGTGGTAATACAAGCATCAGGAATACAGCAGACCTAGCATTTGGAAATTAGCAGCCGTAAATAATAGCATCCCACCCACAAAGATGGCTGCTGAATTTGGCAAGGATCATGTCAGCATACAGGTTCTCACAGAAACTGGCGCACAGTACTCTCAAGTTGTAAGTTTTTTGTTGTTGGTTTGTTGTTGGTGAGAGAATCTCAGCATACAGGTTCTCACAGAAACTGGTGCACAGTACTCTCAAGTTGTTTTTGATTGTTGGTGAGAGAATGTCAGCATACAGGTTCTCACAGAAACTGGTGCACAGTACTCTCAGGTTGTAAGTTGTTTGTTGGTTTTTTGTTGGTGAAAGAATGTCAGCCTACAGGTTCTCACAGAAACTGGTGCACAGTACTCTCAAGTTGTAACTTGTATGATGTTGGTTTGTTGTTGGTGAGAGAATCTCAGCATACAGGTTCTCACAGAAACTAGGGCACAGTACTCTCACGTTGTAAGTTGTTTGTTGTTGCTTTGTTGTTGGTGAGAGAATGTCAGCATACAGGTTCTCACAGAAACTGGTGCACAGTACTCTCAAGTTGTAAGTTGTTTGTTGTTGGTTTGTTGTTGGTGAGAGAATGTCAGCATACAGGTTCTCACAGAAACTGGTGCACAGTACTCTCAAGTTGTAAGTTTTTTGTTGTTGGTGAGAGAATGTCAGCATACAGGTTCTCACAGAAACTGGTGCACAGTACTCTCAAGTTGTTTTTGATTGTTGGTGAGAGAATGTCAGCATACAGGTTCTCACAGAAACTGGTGCACAGTACTCTCAAGTTGTAACTTGTTTGTTGTTGCTTTGTTGTTGGTGAGAGAATGTCAGCATACAGGTTCTCACAGAAACTGGTGCACAGTACTCTCAAGTTGTAAGTTTTTGATTGTTGGTGAGAGAATGTCAGCATACAGGTTCTCCCAGAAACTGGAGCACAGTACTCTCAAGTTGTAAGTTTTTTGTTGTTGGTGAGAGAATGTCAGCATACAGGTTCTCACAGAAACTGGCGCACAATACTCTCAAGTTGTTAGTTGTAGTTGGTTTGTTGTTGGTGAGAGAATGTCAGCATACAGGTTCTCACAGAAACTGGTGCACGGTACTCTCAAGTTGTTAGTTGTAGTTGGTTTGTTGTTGGTGAGAGAATGTCAGCATACAGGTTCTCACAGAAAACTGCACACAGTACTCTCACGTTGTAAGTTGTGTGTTGTTGGTTTGTTATTTATTAGTTGTTGGTGAGAGAATGTCAGCATACAGGTTCTCACATAAACTGGCACATATTACTCTCAAGTTGTATGTTGTTGGTTTGTTGTTGGTGAGAGAATGTCAACATAAAGACTTTGTGTATATGTTCAACCACCTGTAACATACCTTGCCCTATGATTCCTACAGGTGGGCTTTGTGTACGTGTTTAACCTGATTGTGGGCACTGGAGCTCTGACCATGCCTGCGGCATTCAAGGAAGCTGGCTGGCTGCTGAGTCTGCTGGCCATTATTCTGCTAGCCTTCGTGAGGTGAACATTTCATTTATTCTTCTTTTCCAGCTGTTTCTGTTTTTTTAAATTTTATTTTGGTTAATCATTGTTAAGCTTGTCATTTTTGTCTCCTGTAACGTGTGTCACCTTTTGTGACTATTGTCTTTTATAGTTATTATCTTTTAACCATTGAAGTCCCCATGACCATATTCTTGTTTTACAACTTGTCTTCATTTGTAATCAAATACCTTGTGGCATACCCATTTTCCACATATTGCAAACTTCAAGGACTGTGAAGAGAGAGAGAGATGAAAACACTGTGTTTGACATAAGCTGTTAGCACCAGAGGTCAAAAATAAGCTGACCAGAAAGAAGAAAAAGGGGTGCAGCAAATAGCCATCTGATGAACAACATAGAAAGAAGATTATCTGAACTTGGGACACAGTATAAGACTGGTTGGTCTTGTTACTCTATAGGAGTCCAAGAAAAAGAGGGAATGTCCTTGGGGGAAAACAACAATCATACTGTGGGAATTGAACCCTAGTGCATGAAGGGTGATCAAAGATGAGGATATATGTATGGACGCAGACTGATCTTGTGCTGAAAGCAGTTGCACTGAATAGGAGGCAACGGAGAGACAAGGTCAGGTGACTTGTAGTCTTCAGACTGGTTGTAACTGATGATGAGTGGCGTTTAACTTCTCCCGGACTGTACGAGGAGGGACGATTACCCAGTGACACAAAGTGCCATGAGAATTCCCCGGCACATGTCCTCCAGGACTACAACGAGGGACAATTATCCAGTGACACAAAGTGCCATGAGAAATCCCCGGCACATGTCCTCCAGGATTGTACAACGAGGGACAATTACCCAGTGACACAAAGTGCCATGAGAATCCCCGGCACATGTCCTCCAGGATTGTACAACGAGGGACAATTACCCAGTGACACATTACCCAGTGACACAAAGTGCCATGAGAATTCCCCGGCACATGTCCTCCAGGACTGTACAATGAGGGACAATTAACCATTGACACAAAGTGCCCTGAGAATCCCCCAGCACATGTCTCAGAAGCCAAGTTCAACCAGTGACACAAAGTACCATGAGAATCCCCCGGCACACGTCTCAGAAGCCCGGTTCAACCAGTGACACAAAGTACCATGAGAATCCCCCGGCACACGTCTCAGAAGCCCAGTTCAACCAGTGACACAAAGTGCCCTGAGAATCCCCCAGTACATGTCTCAGAAGCCAAGTTCAACCAGTGACACAAAGTACCATGAGAATCCCCCAGCACATGTCTCAGAAGCCCGGTTCAACCAGTGACACAAAGTGCCCTGAGAATCCCCCAGCACATGTCTCAGAAGCCCGGTTCAACCAGTGACACAAAGTGCCCTGAGAATCCCCCAGTACATGTCTCAGAAGCCCGGTTCAACCAGTGACACAAAGTACCATGAGAATCCCCCAGCACATGTCTCAGAAGCCCGGTTCAACCAGTGACACAAAGTGCCATGAGAATCCTCCGGCACATGTCTCAGAAGCCCAGTTCAACCAGTTGCAGGCGGGCTTGGGCTTTAAAATTTAAAAAAAAAAAATTGTTTACCATATTGGGGCAGAATTTATAATTTGATGATGCTTGCATGTTTGATAAATAGTCATCATATGTGCATGTATATGTGTGTGTGAGAGTGTGTGTGTGTGTGTGGGGGGGGGGGCATGCATGTGTGTATGTATTTATACACACATAAGTTTATAATAATATTTGGAAAAAAAAGACCATAGTTATCTAGCGGCGCGTTTTTATTGGCTTGTGAATTAAAATATTGTACTCGGGTATGTGAAAAGCAGACTCAAATGTTCTTTACCGTGTCCAGTGTACATCTGAGGGTGGTCTGCATAGGCTTTTGTAATTGTTAAACGCAATGATCAATTGTCTTTAAGACAATATTTGTGAGCATAGCTCATGATGCTCGCACGAGAATGTAACCTATCTTACCATGAACACTAACGCTGCCTACATAATTGAAACCCTATAAAAGGATAGCGCTACATCAAATCATTCAGTATATTTTCAAGCCGTTACGATAGATTCAAGGAATATTGCAGTCAGAAAAAAGTCAAAGTCGGGTTGCCAGGCATCTAAACCTGCATCAGAGTACCATCAGTTGACTTTGGCACCGGTTCCAAGCCACTGGTTCAGTTGAAGACCACAGTCGATCCTCCACTGTGAAAACAGCGGTGGAGAAAGGCTTTATTCAGCTTTGTCAGCTCGGAGACAGGTTTCCAACAGCTTCCTCAACTGTGCAGGCATTGCCTCCAGGATGTCATTTGTCTGATCAAACTGTTTGTAACAGACAGCATGACGTTGGACTTTGGGCACGACGACTACACTGAAGACCTGTCCTTACGCGTCACCACTGCCAATATCAACTTCTTTGGGCCAATCAGCATCATCCTTGGGTAGGTAACAATCAGTGGAGATGTGCTCCAATCTACTTCTTACTTTAGCCTGAGTCTGAAGAATCTCAGTACAGTGCACCAACTCTGTTGCACTGGCGAGGATCCTGAAATACTTTTTGGGTAGATTTTTAACTCCAAATTTTGTCTGGGTAGCACCGTTAGGCTACTATTTTTTAATTTACAACTGCCACGGAATTTTGTACGTGCACGACAATACACACGGGCATCCTGTATTAATACTCAGAGACCAGGGGCAATTACTAGAAGTCCAAGTGAAAAAATCCCAGCCTTCACGGAGCTTAAACCCGGAACCTCCATCACTCAAGGCGGATGCCATACTTGAAGACCAAGCAGCCCTATATTTTATATTATGTTAAATTTCTTTCAAGGCATTTTTAATGTTGATCTGGGCTTCCAATTGACCCAGTGCAGCAGAAGAGGACTGAAGCAGAGACCAACCTTCACCCAGTGGAGCAGAAGAGGACTGAAGCAGAGACCAGCCTTCACCCAGTGGAGCAGAAGAGGACTGAAGCAGAGACCAGCCTTCACCCAGTGGAGCAGAAGAGGACTGAAGCAGAGACCAGCCTCCACCCAGTGGAGCAGAAAAAGACATGTAGTGGAAACATTCAATACTTTGGTCCCTGAGACCACCCTTCACCCAGTGGAGCAGAAGAAGTCTGAAGCAGACACAGATTCCCTTACCATTTCCACCCTTTGTGTAATCTCAAAACTAGGACTGACATCAGTATCTGTGGAGAACAAAGGCACAAAACAAAATACAGGATTCATATTCACTGTAAAAGCTATGACATTGATACTTACTATCATTTATTATTGCCCTAGGACATGTCAAAGCCTTATGATGGGAAATAATCAGTTCCTTTGTGTCTGCACTCAAAACACAATCTATGACAGATGACTATATGCTGGATATTTAAGGAACTACAGTTTTTTATTTTATTGAGTTAACAAATTGTGTGCAGCTCTGTGCCCTAAAGTTTAATGAACATATTTCACAATCTTAGATGTACCGTAACTGGATTTCTGTGGCAGGCGGTTTAGAAAAAAGATTGTTCTCTTCTCTCACAAACTAGGAAGAGATTGCAGCCTCACTACACAATATTCTCACAGACTGGGAAGAAATTGCAGCCCCACCACACAATATTCTCACAGACTGGGAAGAGATTGCAGCCTCATTACACAATATTCTCACAGACTGGGAAGAGATTGCAGCCTCACCACATAACATTCTAACAGACTGGGAAGAGATTGCAGCCTCACCACATAACATTCTCACAGACTGGGAAGAGATTGCAGCCTCACCACATAACATTCTCACAGACTGGGAAGAGATTGCAGCCTCACCACATAACAGGAAGTGGCCTGGGAAATGAAAATGGCCACTTGTATGTATAATGTAGAACATTAAGTACTTATATTTAGCATTTTGTATGTCTCTATAGTGTGATGACAAGCCTGATGACATGTATTGTGTCAGATAGCTAACATTTACAGTCAGCAAATGTCATCTCTTTCAGCTACATGACCCTCACATTTGTGACAGAAACTATGGCCATCTCTAATGCCAAACTGAGGCTGCAGCAAGTCCTTTCTCAGAGTTCTGTGGTGAGTTACCTTATACCTAGGTTGTGTGAGAGAGTTCTGTGGGGAGTTATCTTATACCTAGATTGTGTGAGAGAGTTCTGTGGTGAGTTATATTATACCTAGGTTGTGTGAGAGAGTTCTGTGGTGAGTTATATAATTCCTAGGTTGTGTGAGAGAGTTCTGTGTTGAGTTATACCTAGGTTGTGTGAGAGAGTTCTGTGGTGAGTTATATTATACCTAGGTTGTGTGAGAGAGTTCTGTGGTGGGTTATCTTATTTATAGGCTGTGTGAGAGTTCTGTGATATTTCTTCATTGTGTGGCTGGCAGATATAAGACTTAATACTGTGGCTGAATGTTGGACCACAAAACAGACTGTCTTGTAGGCTCACAAGGGACATATCAGTACTGAGTATAGTCTTTGTTAGCATATCACCCAGTACTGGGTATAGTCTGTGTTAGCATATTGCCCAGTGCTGGGTATAGTCTGTGTTAGCATACCACCCAGTGCTGGGTATAGTCTGTGTTAGCATATCACTCAGTGCTGGGTATAGTCTGTGTTAGCATATCGCCCAGTGCTGAGTATAGTCTGTGTTAGCATATCACTCAGTGCAGGGTATAGTTTGTGTAAGCACATCGCTCAGTGCTGGGTATAGTTTGTGTTAGCATATTGCCCAGTGCTGGGTATAGTCTGTGTTAGCATATTGCCCAGTGCTGGGTATAGTCTGTGTTAGCATATCGCCCAGTGCTGGGTATAGTCTGTGTTAGCACATTGCCCAGTGCTGGGTATAGTCTGTGTTAGCATATCACTCAGTGCTGGGTATAGTCTGTGTTAGCATATCCCCCAGTGCTGGGTATAGTCTGTGTTAGCATATCGCCCAGTGCTGGGTATAGTCTGTGTTAGCACATTGCCCAGTGCTGGGTATAGTCTGTGTTAGCATATCACTCAGTGCTGGGTATAGTCTGTGTTAGCATATCCCCCAGTGCTGGGTATAGTCTGTGTTAGCATATCACCCAGTGCTGGGTATAGTCTGTGTTAGCATATCGCCCAGTGCTGGGTATAGTCTGTGTTAGCATATCACTTAGTGCTGGGTATAGTCTGTGTTAGCATATCACTCAGTGCTGGGTATAGTCTGTGTAAGCATATCACCCAGTGCTGGGTATAGTCTGTGTTAGCATATTGCCCAGTGCTGGGTGTAGTCTGTGTTAGCATATCGTCCAGTGCTGGGTATAGTCTGTGTTAGCATATCACTCAGTACTGAGTATAGTCTGTGTTAGCATATCGCCCAGTGCTGGGTATAGTCTATGTTAGCATATCACCCAGTGCTGGGTATAGTCTGTGTTAGCATATCACCCAGTGCTGGGTATAGTCTGTGTTAGCATAGCACTCAGTGCTAGGTATAGTCTGTGTTAGCATATCACTCAGTGCTAGGTATAGTCTGTGTTAGCATATCACTCGGTGCTGGGTAAAGTCTGTGTTAGCATATCACTTAGATCTCTTGGGTATAGTCTGTGTTAGCATATCACCCAGTGCTGGGTATAGTCTGTGTTAGCATAGCACTCAGTGCTAGGTATAGTCTGTGTTAGCATATCACTCAGTGCTAGGTATAGTCTGTGTTAGCATATCACTCGGTGCTGGGTAAAGTCTGTGTTAGCATATCACTTAGATCTCTTGGGTATAGTCTGCGTTAGGGTAGCTCTGGATGGGTTTTTTTTGCAGAATTTTGTATGTCTGATCTTGAGCAGGATCTGTGTTTATGTTGCTGATGGTTCTAGCTTGATTTTCTTGTTCCAGAGAGAGGAGTCTGTAGATGTGTCCGTGAATGTAGATGAGAGACAACCACTGTTGAAGCCAAAAGTTGTCTGTAAGTAACTCTTATCAGGTCATAACTGCTGCTGGTGTACCCTCATGTTGAATGGATTAACTTTCGCTTCTCTGTTACTCTTTTTTTTTTAAAAATCCTCTTCCATCTTTCATGTAAGGTATGACGACTCAAAAAACGTGCAGGAAACTGTTCTCAAACTATTGTGAAAGGCGCAGGTTTGACGGCTTAAGGTCCCCAAACTGTTGTACGCTGAATAGGGCTGACAGCATATGAACATATAGTCAAGTGTCTAAGTTATGATTTGTGCTCGAACTCTATAAACACTCGCACAGTCAGGAAAACTCAGCGGTTGTCCATCATATATTTATTCTCAAGAATGTTTGGGTCTACCAACCCGCACACACAAATGGAAATGAAGCGACATCACGTCTGGCCATATGTTGGCTAACCTGGAATTAACCCCATCACGCTTCACACTTCCCAAAGCAGTCCTGGCGGCGCTGCATAGTACTGCCTGCACTGGCTGGCAATCAAACTCTTGAGCTCACCACTTCAGTGCCTCAGTCACTGGTGAACCCTCCGTCAGGGCTATCAGTAAGAATGAACAGGCTCCATCTAAAATATTTCGTTGCAATACTCGTAACAAGCACACTTTTACATCGGCTGACCAGGAACCCCTGCAATACTCTAGTTCCATTTATGCACACAGCAAATCAGTGACATCGAGGAATTTTACTGGTCAACTCCTCGTGGATTCCCCCGGTCAACCAAGCAACAAGGAATCTGTGACTGTAGCTTGTGGAGATAATGTTTCAGCTGAGCAACAAGGAATCTGTGACTGTAGCTTATGGAGCTAATGTTTCAGAGCAACAAGGAACCTGTGACTGCAGCTTATGGAGCTAATGTTTCAGCTGAGCAACAAGGAATCTGTGACTGTAGCTTATGGAGCTAATGTTTCAGAGCAACAAAGAATCTGTGACTGTAGCTTATGGAGCTAATGTTTCAGAGCAACAAGGAATCTGTGACTGTAGCTTGTAGAGCTAATGTTTTGGGGGCAACAAGGAATCTGTGACTGTAGCTTGTGAGCTAATGTTTTGGGGGCAACAAGGAATCTGTGACTGTAGCTTATGGAGCTAATGTTTCAGAGCAACAAGGAATCTGTGACTGTAGCTTATGGAGCTAATGTTTCAGAGCAACAAGGAATCTGTGACTGCAGCTTGTAGAGCTAATGTTTCAGAGCAACAAGGAATCTGTGACTGTAGCTTGTAGAGCTAATGTTTTGGGGGCAACAAGGAATCTGTGACTGTAGCTTGTGGAGCTAATGTTTCAGAGCAACAAGGAATCTGTGACTGTAGCTTGTGGAGATAATGTTTCAGCTGAGCAACAAGGAATCTGTGACTGTAGCTTATGGAGCTAATGTTTCAGAGCAACAAGGAATCTGTGACTGTAGCTTGTGGAGCTAATGTTTCAGAGCAACAAGGAATCTGTGACTGTAGCTTGTAGAGCTAATGTTTCAGAGCAACAAGGAATCTGTGACTGTAGCTTGTGGAGCTAATGTTTCAGAGCAACAAGGAATCTGTGACTGTAGCTTGTAGAGCTAATGTTTTGGGGGCAACAAGGAATCTGTGACTGTAGCTTGTGAGCTAATGTTTTGGGGGCAACAAGGAATCTGTGACTGTAGCTTGTGGAGCTAATGTTTCAGAGCAACAAGGAATCTGTGACTGTAGCTTGTAGAGCTAATGTTTCAGATCAACAAGGAATCTGTGACTGTAGCTTGTAGAGCTAATGTTTCAGAGCAACAAGGAATCTGTGACTGTAGCTTGTGGAGCTAATGTTTCAGAGCAACAAGGAATCTGTGACTGCAGCTTGTAGAGCTAATGTTTCACAGCAATAAGGAATCTGTGACTGTAGCTTGTAGAGCTAATGTTTTGGGGGCAACAAGGAATCTGTGACTGTAGCTTGTGAGCTAATGTTTTGGGGGCAACAAGGAATCTGTGACTGTAGCTTGTGAGCTAATGTTTTGGGGGCAACAAGGAATCTGTGACTGTAGCTTGTGAGCTAATGTTTTGGGGGCAACAAGGAATCTGTGACTGTAGCTTGTGAGCTAATGTTTTGGGGGCAACAAGGAGTCTGTGACTGCAGCTTATGGAGCTAATGCTTCAGCAGAGCAACAAGGAATCTGTGACTGCAGCTTGTGAAGCTAATGTTTCAAAGCAACAAGAAATGTGTGACCTTAGCTCATGGAGCTAAGGTTAGCTCATTGAACTAAGGTTTTAACTCATGGTTTCTGAGCAGTTAATAGTACAATATAAAGGAAGACAAAAGAACAGTTATCCCATCTTTATCTTTGAGAGTACTGCATGGTGAGGCTGCATCTCCTCCGTTGTGCCATTCTTCACCACACTTTGTGAGAATATTGTGTAGTGAGGCTGCAATCTCTTCCCAGTCTGTGAGAATATTGTGTAGTGAGGCTGCAATCTCTTCCCAGTCTGTGAGAATGTTATGTGGTGAGGCTGCAATCTCTTCCCAGTCTGTGAGAATGTTATGTGGTGAGGCTGCAATCTCTTCCCAGTCTGTGAGAATGTTATGTGGTGAGGCTGCAATCTCTTCCCAGTCTGTTAGAATGTTATGTGGTGAGGCTGCAATCTCTTCCCAGTCTGTGAGAATATTGTGTAATGAGGCTGCAATCTCTTCCCAGTCTGTGAGAATATTGTGTGGTGGGGCTGCAATTTCTTCCCAGTCTGTGAGAATATTGTGTAGTGAGGCTGCAATCTCTTCCTAGTTTGTGAGAGAAGAGAACAATCTTTTTTCTAAACCGCCTGCCACAGAAATCCAGTTACGGTACATCTAAGATTGTGAAATATGTTCATTAAACTTTAGGGCACAGAGCTGCACACAATTTGTTAACTCAATAAAATAAAACTGTAGTTCCTTAAATATCCAGCATATAGTCATCTGTCATAGATTGTGTTTTGAGTGCAGACACAAAGGAACTGATTATTTCCCATCATAAGGCTTTGACATGTCCTAGGGCAATAATAAATGATAGTAAGTATCAATGTCATAGCTTTTACAGTGAATATGAATCCTGTATTTTGTTTTGTGCCTTTGTTCTCCACAGATACTGATGTCAGTCCTAGTTTTGAGATTACACAAAGGGTGGAAATGGTAAGGGAATCTGTGTCTGCTTCAGACTTCTTCTGCTCCACTGGGTGAAGGGTGGTCTCAGGGACCAAAGTATTGAATGTTTCCACTACATGTCTTTTTCTGCTCCACTGGGTGGAGGCTGGTCTCTGCTTCAGTCCTCTTCTGCTCCACTGGGTGAAGGCTGGTCTCTGCTTCAGTCCTCTTCTGCTCCACTGGGTGAAGGCTGGTCTCTGCTTCAGTCCTCTTCTGCTCCACTGGGTGAAGGTTGGTCTCTGCTTCAGTCCTCTTCTGCTGCACTGGGTGAAGGCTGGTCTCTGCTTCAGTCTTCTTCTGCTCCACTGTGTGAAGGTTGGTCTCTGCTTCAGTCCTCTTCTGCTCCACTGGGTGAAAGCTGGTCTCTGCTTCAGTCTTCTTCTGCTCCACTGTGTGAAGGTTGGTCTCAGGGACCACAGTATTGTATGTTTCCACTACGTTTTCATAAACACTGCTCTTTTTGCTGCCTTGTGTCATCAGCTCTTATTCGTCACTCTTCTTCCATCTCTTGAGGTGTCCTCTCCCAACTTACACTGACTACTTAATTTCTCTCAATGTCTTTTCTCATCTCTTTAACATTCTATTGTCCTCTCTTAAAGTGTCCTCTCCCAACTTTCACTGACTATCTAATTTCTCTCAATGTCTTTTCCTGATCTCTTTAACATTCTATTGTCCTTTCTTGATGTGTCTCTCCCTCTAGCTTACCGTGTTGTGTGTATTGGCAGGATCTTTCACACTTGACTGTGGGGACCAGACAGAATCTCTTAGACTAGACTAGGCAATAAGTGTGAAGACCAGACAAGATCTCTGAGAGGAGACTAGATCTCTGTATCTGAGCACCAGACAATGTCTCTTAGACTGGACTAGACAGTGTTTGAGCTTCAGGCAAGGTCTCTTAGACTGGACTAGACAGTGTTTGAGCATCAGACAAGATCTCTTAGACTGGACTAGACAGTGTTTGAGCACCAGACAAGGTCTCTTAGACTGGACTAGACAGTGTTTGAGCACCAGATAAGGTCTCTTAGACTGGACTAGACAGTGTTTGAGCACCAGATAAGGTCTCTTAGACTGGACTAGACATTGTTTGAGCACCAGACAAGATCTCTTAGACAGGACTGGACAGTGTTTGAGCACCAGACAAGGTCTCTTAGACTGGACTGGACAGTGTTTGAGCACCAGATAAGGTCTCTTAGACTGGACTAGACAGTGTCTGAGCACCAGACAAGATCTCTTAGAATGGACTAGACAGTGTCTGAGCACCAGACAAGATCTCTTAGACTGGACTAGACAGTGTTTGAGCTCCAGACCAGACAGTGTTTGAGATTTGGTTTCACCTGTATGTGCTGTGGTTGGGGTTCACTCACAAGCTATATTGGTGTCAGTTCTTGAGTTCCAATCCTCTCTTCCCCAGGGCACCATGGCTGCCATGTTCTTCAACAGAGGTGACCTACTTGTGTTTAGATGTTATGGCTATGCGACAAATGTGTAGTCTTTTTGTTTGTTGTTTTGTTTGCATGTTCTTGTTTTGTTTGTTTCTTGTCTTACTTGTATTTTTCTGTCTTGTTTATACTGTTTAAAAAAATTAATTCATGCATGGTTATCTGATGGAAAGTTTTTATTGGTTGATGTAGTAAGTCTGTACACCTAAAAACTATCAATGACCCAGATGTTAGGATTATGTCACAATTATGTTACTTTCTGTAGCCATGTGCTTAGTGTGTGTGTGTATGTGTGAGAGAGAGAGAGGGAGAGAATAGTGTATGTTGTCTTATTGGATTTTCTTGCTATACTAAATATTCATAGTCTCTGTGTCTTCTTGTTTTGTGTGCGTGTGTGTGTGCGTGCATGCATGTGGGTTTTTTTAAATATTAGTAACATGTTTTTCAGTTGTTGTACTGTTTATTTGCTTCTTGTTATGTTGTTCTAAGTGTTGAAAGTAAATATGAGGCAGTTACTGAATAGTTGAAATTGTAGCTGTATTGTTGAAAGTGATTGTGCTGCTGTGGGGACCTCTCCGTCCACATTATATCAGTTCATGGGAGCTGAGCGATTGTGTCATTGTGGGGACCTTTCAGTCCACCTCGTGTCAGTTTCTAGAAGCTGAGAGAGGAATGAATGAATGGACATCTCTGCACTCGGGACATTCCCACATGTGGTAGTCTCCTTCTTCACTAGCCAGTGAAGAGTCATATGCTAATACTACCTGTTGCAACCTGATTAAAAATATGCCTGTTTCCCTGGCAGTACCTTCCAGAACTCTTGCAACCCTTCGCTGAATTAGTCTGTCAGGGTATGGATCCTTGGTCCTTTCTGTTGCACTGTCCACTTGATCCCAGAGAGCCTTCAGCCACTTCCAGTTTATCATAACGTAGCTCACCACCCATTGGAGCTGCAGCAGCCAATCTTTCAGCTTGCTGATTGCCCCGGACACCTGAATGTCCTGGACAGAAAATCCACACTGTGCTTGTGATCAGAGTCTTATCAAGCCAAGCCAGCCACTCTACACGCAGGACACTACTTTCTATTTTCTGAAGCATGCTGACACAAGCTGAGTGAATGTGTCGCTGTGGGGAGCCTTATGTCAGTTTGTTTAGGTACATGAACACTGAGCACTTATTGTAAGCACAGTGTTTAAAAACATGTATTTATTGCTATATGTTGGCTGTAGAAACAGGTCACATAATTATGGTGATGCTAAAATGTTGGATGACTTCATTCTTGTTACAGTGGGCATGGTTTTCTTTCACCTGTGTATCATCATCTACCTGTATGGTGACCTGGCCATCTATGCAGCAGCTGTGCCAAAGTCCCTGCGGGATGTTGTCTGGTGAGGCTTTCTCCACAGCTCTTCTAGATCTTGGCTGTCAGCAGCATGTGGTTGAATGGTTAGCATTCACAGGTCTCAGATCTGGCACTATGGGTGTGAACCTCAGTACAGCTAAATATTTCATCTGTGTAAATTGGCTTCTTGTGTGTGAGCATTCATTTGTATTCGTGAGACCAGACAGCCTAACACTACTTCCTGACTTTCAGACAGCCTGTACCTGAGCCCTGAGAGGACAGTCCCATCATATTACCTCTTCTTGTGTGATCTCTGCTGGTCAGCAAGGATCTAAGAAGACAGTACCTCATTATACCGCAACCTCAGATGTTTGCAGGCCCACTTCAGACCTCACTGGCAGCTTTTAATGGATGCCCTCAAAGAAACATTTTTTGTCTAAAACTTTATTCTCAACCTGACCAGTTAGATTAGATGGTACTCATGCCCACATAAAAACACCTTATTGGTTTGAAGAGTTCAAGTCTGATTTATACAAGACACCCTGACAGACAAGAGTGAAGAGTTAATGTCTCGCCCATACAAGTCAACCTGACAGACGGAAGTGAAGAGTTAATGCCCCAACCATACAAGACAACCTGACAGATGGAAGTGAAGAGTTAATGCCTCAACCATACAAGACAACCTGACAGACGGAAGTGAAGAGTTAATGTCTCAACCATATAAGACAGCTTGATGGACAGTAAGTTAAACTGTACGATCCTTCTACACCCTGTGGTAGGAAAGGAAAGATTAAACTGTACGATCCTTCTATACCCCATGTAGGAAAGGAAAGATTAAACTGTAAGATCCTTGTACACCCCATGTAGGAAAGGAAAGATTAAACTGTACGATCCTTCTACACCCCATGTAGGAAAGGAATAATTAAACTGTACGATCCTTCTACACCCCATGTAGGAAAGGAATAATTAAACTGTACGATCCTTCTACACCCCATGTAGGAAAGGAAAGATTAAACTGTAAGATCCTTGTACACCCCATGTAGGAAAGGAAAGATTGAACTGTACGATCCTTCTACACCCCATGTAGGAACGGAATAATTAAACTGTACGATCCTTCTACACCTCAGGTAGGAAAGGAAGGTAAACTATACGATCCTTCTTCACCCAAGGATAGGAAAAGAAAGATTATACTGTACGATCCTTCTACACTCCAGGGTAGGAAAGGAAGTTAAACTACGATCCTTCTACACTCCAGGGTAGGAAAAGAAGTTAAATTATGATCCTTCTACATGACCTGCAGCACATAATCCCTGTCCTTGTGTTCTGTGTTGTCCTGCAGTATATAATCCCTGTCCTTGTGTTCTATGTCCTGCAGCACATAATCACTGTCCTTGTGTTCTGTGTTGTCCTGCAGTACATAATCCCTGTCCTTGTGTTCTATGTCCTGCAGCACGTAATCCCTGTCCTTGTGTTCTATGTCCTGCAGCACGTAATCACTGTCCTTGTGTTCTATGTCCTGCAGCATGTAATCCTGTCCTTGTTTTCTATGTCCTGCAGCACATAATCCCTGTCCTTGTGTTCTATGTCATCCTGCAGCACATAATCCCTATCCTTGTGTTCTGTGTCATCCTGCAGCACATAATCCCTATCCTTGTGTTGTATGTCCTGCAGCACATAATCCCGGTCCTTGTGTTCCATGTCATCCTGCAGCACGTAATCCCTGTCATTGTGTTCTATGTCATCCTGCAGCACATAATCCTTGACCTTGTGTTCTATGTCATCCTGCAGCACATAATTCCTGTCCTTGTGTTCTATGTCATCCTGCAGCACATAATCCTTGTCCTTGTGTTCTATGTCATCCTGCAGCACGTAATCCCTGACCTTGTGTTGTATGTCATCCTGCAGCACATAATCCCTGTCCTTGTGTTCTATGTCATCCTGCAGCACATAATCCCTGTCCCTGTGTTCTGTCGTCCTGCAGCACATAATCCCTGTCTCTGTGTTCTATGTCATCCTGCAGCACATAATCCCTGTCTCTGTGTTCTATGTCATCCTGCAGCACATATGGAGGCAACAATGGAACCAGTAATCAAACATTATCTGATGATGACCACTGCTGGCCTCATGTTTCTCTCAACAGAATGAATGCATACAGGATATTTGTGGTAAGTGACCAGTGTTCTCATACATGTCAGCTACATCATCAGAATGGATGTCTACAAGATATTTGCTGTGGTGACAAGTGGTGTATTACCCTGGAGATAGCCAGCATCCCCTCCCCCTATTATAACAGCTGTGGACTACAAGCCAGCATCCCCTCCCCCTATTATAACAGCTGTGGACTACAAGCCAGCAACTGTCTGTGTAATGGGGATGCCAATAAACAGATCTGTGTGATGGGGATGCCAATAAACAGATCTGTGTGATGGGGATGCCAATAAACAGATCTGTGTGATGGGGATGCCAATAAACAGATCTGTATGATGGGGATGCCAATAAACAGATCTGTGTGATGGGGATGCCAATAAACAGATCTGTGTGATGGGAATGCCAATAAACAGATCTGTATGATGGGGATGCCAATAAACAGATCTGTGTGATGGGGATGCCAATAAACAGATCTGTGTGATGGGGATGCCAATAAACAGATCTGTGTGATGGGGATGCCAATAAACAGATCTGTGTGATGGGGATGCCAATAAACAGATCTGTGTGATGGGGATGCCAATAAACAGATCTGTGTGATGGGGATGCCAATAAACAGATCTGTGTGATGGGGATGCCAATAAACAGATCTGTGTGATGGGGATGCCAATAAACAGATCTGTGTGATGGGGATGCCAATAAACAGATCTGTATGATGGGGATGCCAATAAACAGATCTGTATGATGGGGATGCCAATAAACAGATCTGTATGATGGGGATGCCAATAAACAGATCTGTATGATGGGGATGCCAATAAACAGATCTGTGTGATGGGGATGCCAATAAACAGATCTGTGTTGTGAATATTCCTAGCAGGAGCATATAGAATATATTGCTGTGAGCAGCCAGACACACATTAGTGTCACCGCTAATTGGCAGAGTTGGCTACTAGCTGCAGAGATGGTCTCTACCTGCAGCAGTCTGCATTTGTTCACAGATTACACTGGATTTCACAGTGAAATTGATTATTTACAGAGTCTGAGAAAATAATTGGGTACTTAATTTATAACTTACCCCTGACGTCACGACAACGTCACGGGAGACATTTCCAATAAATTCTAGAGTGTTCAGGTTGTAGTTTCTCGCGATTTATCTACAGCCAAGTTTAGGGTTAGGGTTAGCATTAGAAGACACTAGATGAACACTCAAAAAAGAACCACACAACAGCACACTTCCACCCCTTGAAATAATGGACTGTCAGGTCAGCTGTGGATTTCCCACGGGGATTTCGTGTTTGGGGTACATTATAAATTAAGAACCAATAATTGTTATTGTCTCTAATTCACCTTCTTTATTAGAAATATTTGACTAATCCTGTAGTCTCTGCCTATCCTAGAAATGTGTTACTGTGTGAATGTTTGTGTCTGATGTGTATCTGTCTGATGTGTATCTTTGTGGATTACTGGTACCTGATGCAGGTGTGGCTTGCTTTTTCAGGCTGTGTTTGTTTTGCTGCTGGGTCCGTTCACATTCTTCAATGTACAGAAGACCAAGTATCTGCAGATCCTCACATCCTTGGCCAGATGGACAGGTGAGGGGAAACTTCTGTGTTCTTGTGACAGCACTTGGGTGTAAGAAGATTGGCAGCACTTGGGTGTGAGAAGATTGGCAGCACTTGGGTGTGAGAAGATTGGCAGCACTTAGGTGGGAGAGGACTGGCAGCATTTGGGTGGGAAAAGATTGCCATCACTTGAGTGGATCAGAAAATTTAGCAGCACTTGGGTGGAACAGAAAGTTTGCCAGCACTTGGGTGGAAGTTAGCTAGCACTAGCTGTGCCTACAAGCCCATGGCATCAGTGACTCAGTTAAATGATATTTCATGTATAGTTACAAGTCAGTGGTGCTACAACAGTTTTCAGAAAATGCATGTACCAACCAGTATGTTTATTTGTTGTGCAGCGGTGTTAAAAAATAAAATTATGTTGTTAGTGACATGGAGATGTGAGTGAAAGGCCTGAACGAGAATGGAAGAAAGGTTTCACAGGTGAGAAGATAAGGATACTTGAAAGCAACAAGCTGCCTCTCTGAGCACAGGATATAGCAGATGTGAGTAGCAGGGTGCACTGTCAGGAAATAGTCACAGTTTTACAGGGGGTAAACCAGGAGACTGTTACAGATACAACATCCAACTTTTAAGAGTGAGTGCAGATACAACATCCAACTTGTAGGAGTGAGTGCAGATACAACATCCAACTTGTAGAAGTGAGTGCAGATGCAACATCCAACTTGTAGGAGTGAGTGAGGATACAACATCCAACTTGTAAGAGTGAGTGCAGATACAACATCCAACTTGTAGGAGTGAGTGCAGATACAACATCCAACTTGTAGGAGTGAGTGCAGATACAACATTCAACTTGTAGGAGTGAGTGAGGAAGGATACAACATCCAACTTGTAAGAGTGAGTGCAGATGCAACATCCAACTTGTAGGAGTGAGTGAGGATACAACATCCAACTTGTAGGAGTGAGTGCAGATGCAACATCCAACTTGTAGGAGTGAGTGAGGATACAACATCCAACTTGTAGGAGTGAGTGCAGATGCAACATCCAACTTGTAGGAGTGAGTGAGGATACAACATCCAACTTGTAGGAGTGAGTGCAGATGCAACATCCAACTTGTAGGAGTGAGTGCAGATGCAACCTTTGACTGAAAGAAATGCCTGCAGATAGAAAATTCCACTTGACTTGAGCGTACATACAACAGAATCAGGTAACATCTCAGAGATGTATAGAACTGTACAAGCTGTAGAGTGTTGTGTTCCATAGTAACATAGATGTTCTGTCGTCACAGAGACTGTGTGATGAGAAGCTACAGCCCTAGCAAGCATGTCCTACAAGATACCTAATTAGCGGTGTTTCCTTCCTAGCTGCAGCACATCTGCCAGATAGTCATGAAACCAACAGTCTGCATACAAATAAGCCAGATCAGTGAAACAGATTTGCACCCAAAACCAAGGTCCAGTAGTGGATGAACCACCAGAACTTTCTGCTAGGTGAATGCAAAGTGAAAAAATAAAATAAAAAAGAAGATGAGGAAACACTGATGTCACAGCTTTCCAGACATTCCTTAAAGTCAAATTTGTTGTTTTTGTTTAGCCTTCCTGATGATGATAGCACTCACCTGCATCCGATTGGCTGAGGGTAAAGGGCAAGGTCACCCAGTGATTGCTGACATCGCAGGAGTGCCCAACTTGTTTGGAGTGTGCGTCTACAGCTTCATGTGCCATCACTCGCTGCCCTCACTGATCACCCCCATCAGAAACAAATCCCGCCTGCTGTCCGTTCTGGCAGGCAACTACAGCCTGATTCTGGTCTTCTACTTGGTGCTCAGTTTTACAGCAGTCTTTTCCATCGGTAACATCCAAGATTTGTACTCTCTCAACTTCAGCCCACACGGCACCGAACCTGTGACCTCCGTGGTGCCTATACAATATTTCCTGGCTCTGTTCCCAGTCTTCACGTTGTCCACGAGCTTCCCCATCATCTCCATCACCTTGCGGAATAACCTCACAGCCATGCTGACCCCTCGTCAAGGCCACCTGCCCTGGTACGTCCCCAAAGTGGTGTGTCCCCTGCTGGTCCTCATTCCCCCAGTGGCTGTGGCTCTCGGGACCAACAAAGTGGAAGTGCTGGTGGGAATTACCGGCTCTTATGCGGGTGCCGGCATCCAGTATGTGATCCCCGCGGTTCTAGTCTTGTTAGCCCGCAGAGATACCCTAGCAGTAGCAGGGGGTTATCTGCACCGATCTCCGTTCTCACACCGCGCCTGGGTGATTCTGACCTTGATCTGGGCCTGCATATGTATCAACTTTGTGACAGTCAATTACATCATTAGCAACCTGTGAGGGTCAGAGGTCAGTTAAACATATCCGCTACCTGTAATGAATAGACTCGAGACACCTGGACACAATATACAAGCAGACTTAGATTGAGTCATAAGCTTTGAAATGAAGATGTTGAAAAATATGAAAGGAAGAAGTGAAAGATGAAACGATGAGAGGAATTAAGGGGTAAGAAAGAAAGAAATAATTAAGATATTGAGAGATTGGTTTATAAATGACGGATAGATGTGTTGTTATCTCTACAGTATTTATCCTGTCTCAGATGTGTGTAGTCTCTACAGTACTTATCCTGTCTCACATGTGTTGTAGTCTCTACAGTATTTATCCTGTCTCAGATGTGTTGTAGTCTCTACAGTACTTATCCTGTCTCAGATGTGTTGTAGTCTCTACAGTACTTATCTTGTTTCAGATGTAGTGTCTCTACAGTACTTATCCTGTCTCAGATGTGTTGTAGTCTCTACAGTACTTATCTTGTCTCAGATGTAGTGTCTCTACAGTACTTATCCTGTCTCAGGTGTGTTGTAGTCTCTACAGTACTTATCTTGTCTCAGATGTAGTGTCTCTACAGTACTTATCCTGTCTCAGATGTGTTGTAGTCTCTACCGTACTTATCTTGTCTCAGATGTAGTGTCTCTACAGTACTTATCCTGTCTCAGATGTGTTGTAGTCTCTACAATACTTATCCCTTCTCAGATGTAGTGTCTCTACAGTACTTATCTTGTCTTAGATGTAGTGTCTCTACAGTACTTATCCTGTCTCAGATGTAGTGTCTCTACAGTACTTATTCTTTCACAGATGTGTTGTAGTCTCTACAGTACTTATCTTGTCTCAGATGTAGTGTCTCTACAGTACTTATCCTGTCTCAGATGTGTTGTAGTCTTTGCAGTACTTATCCTGTCTCAGATGTGTTGTAGTCTCTACAGTACTTATCTTGTCTCAGATGTAGTGTCTCTACAGTATTTATCCTGTCTCAGATGTAGTGTGTCTCTACAGTACTTATATTGTCTCAGATGTAGTGTGTCTTTACAGTACTTATCTTGTCTCAGATGTGATGTAGTCTCAACAGTACTTATCATGTCTCAGATGTGATGTAGTCTCGACAGTACTTACCATGTCTCAGATGTGTTGTAGTCTCGACAGTACTTATCATGTCACAGATGTGTTTTAGTCTCGACAGTACTTATCATGTCTCAGATGTGTTGTAGTCTCTGCAGTTTCAAATTTGTTGTATTTTTTACAGCACTAATCTTGTCTCAGATATGGTGAGGACTTGCTGATGTTGTCACCAGTCAGCTCTCCTTGGTCAGCTGTTTTCTCACTCATTGTTTAGACAGCTGGTATACACCAGCTCATTCAGTGTTAGACACCACTCATTCAGTGTTTAGACAGCTGGTAGACACCACTCATTCAGTGTTTAGACAGCTGGTAGACACCAGCTCATTCAGTGTTTAGACACCACTCATTCAGTGTTTAGACAGCTGGTAGACACCAGCTCATTCAGTGTTTAGACAGCTGGTAGACACCAGCTCATTCAGTGTTTAACAGCTGGTAGACACCAGCTCATTCAGTGTTAGACATCACTCATTCAGTGTTTAGACAGCTGGTAGACACCAGCTCATTCAGTGTTTAGACAGCTGGTAGACACCAGCTCATTCAGTGTTTAGACAGCTGGTAGACACCAGCTCATTCAGTGTTAGACACCACTCATTCAGTGTTTAGACAGACAAGGTTGGTTTATGTGTTCTGGGAAGTTTGACTTATTACACAGGGTTAAAAAATGTGTATGTTTCTTTTGTTTTGTTGTTGACTTGAGCACATGATTCTTGTGACTGTAAGCACATGTATAGAATCCATTATGTTTCTCAGTGCCATGTGACATCTGTCATTTGTAGTTAAGGTCAGTAATATCATTGTAACAAGAACAGTAATGAGAACATTGGTGCCAGTAATCTAATAATATTTTGAGAACAAGAATAGGAATGTAAAGTGTCAGTTTTATCATAAACATATCCGCAGGCTTTGACCACAGATGAATCACTCAGTGTCTTTCTTCACAAACTCACTCTAGAGTTCTGCCAGCTGAATATTCCTCCTTCAGATGTAACATTTGCTCTCTTTCTCCCCCCTCCCTACATACACACGCAGAGTCCACCCACTGAAATGTTTCTTTTATGTTAGGCTGATTATCTTTTCTGTTTGACACCTTGTAACTGTCCACTCTGTTTGACACCTTATACGTTTACAGCTGTGTTAACGCAGTTTGACACTTTGCAACTTTTTTGTTTGACACCTTGTAGCTGTCAATTCTATTTGACACCTTGTAGGTATACAGCTGTGTTCATGCAGCCTGACAGTCTCTCATTGTGTGTGTTCTTCTTTGGTCAAATCATTCATTGACATCATTCAGCAGATGAGTTATTTAGAACACAGAGGCACACATATACACTGTGTCATGTATTGTGATATCATGCAGGTCTTTTGTTGTTGTTATTGCAATGTGTCATGTTTGTCATGCAGGTCTTTTGTTGTTGTTTTTGCAGTGTGTCATGTTTGTCCTGCAGGTCTCTTGTTGTTGTTTTTGCAGTGTGTCATGTTTGTCCTGCAGGTCTGTTGTTGTTGTTTTTGCAGTGTGTCATGTTTGTCCTGCAGGTCTTTTGTTGTTGTTTTTGCAGTGTGTCATGTTTGTCCTGCAGGTCTTTTGTTGTTTATGCAGTGTGTCATGCAGGTCTTTTGTTGTTGTTTATTACAGTGTGTCATGTTTGTCACACAGGTCTTTTGTTGTTGTTATTGCAGTATGTCATACAGGTCTTTTGTTGTTGTTATTGCAGTGTGTCATGATTGGCATGCAGGTCTTTTGTTGAACTGTGTCATGTTTGTCATGCAGGTCTTTTGTTGTTGTTATTGCAATGTGTCATGATTGTCATGCAGGTCTTTTGTTGTTGTTTATTACAGTGTGTCATGTTTGTCATGCAGGTGTTTTGTTGTTTATGCAGTGTGTCATGCAGGTCTTTTGTTGTTTTTTATTACAGTGTGTCATGTTTGTCATGCAGGTGTTTTGTTGTTTATGCAGTGTGTCATGCAGGTCTTTTGTTTGTTGTTGTGTCATTTGGTGTAATGGCATGCAGTGTTTATACGACTGCTTGTTTGCCGTTTGATTTGTTGCCATTGCATTGATTTTCCAGAACAGAGACCTGCTTTATTTAACAGTGTAGATTTTTTTTTTGAGCTTTTTAAAATGTTACAATTAAAATATGAGAATGATCACATACTCCTCCTCTGAGAGTTAGTGGATTCAACATCTCGTCTTCTCTGATCATGGCTTAAACAAAACAACCTGTGTGAATTTTTGTGCATGTTACAAATTCCTTAGTAGTTAGAATTTGACAGGGGATTGAGAGCAGGTTAGGTTAACTCACTGACTACAAAACAGTTGCATATAATATCATCTGCTACACCTGGCTACTTTCATCACATGCCATGTTACCCATCTGCCGATGGCTACACCTGGCTACTTTTATCACCCGCCCTGTTACCCATCTGTCGACGGCTACACCTGGCTACTTTCATTACCCGCCCTGTTACCCATCTGCCGACGGCTACACCTGGCTACTTTCATCACCCGCCCTGTTATCGTAACATGCTTGCCACCATGACTTTTACCATAAATTTAGTTGAAGCTGTTAGTCCATTCATTTCCCTGTTTCATTAATGGAAACAATTCAGTAGACACTAGAGACTTCCGGCCAAAATGGAGGGAAGGCTTGGCAGAATGTTAGGCTTTGAAGTTATTTTTGCTTCTGAAAACACTTTGCTAATGCAGTTTCCACATAAGGACAGTAGTCTATGGTTTGGCTGCCTGAGCTACTAAGTTGAGTGCTTGGTGCAGCCCTGTGAGCTGTGTTTTTCCTGTGAAATGTCTTTCATTTAATGCAGCAGTTGTGTTGTGCTGTATTTAATACGGCCAGCTATGTGGCGTATCAGCTGGTGAAACACCTTATGGAAAAATGATACATGTGTATAGGAACCAATTTATCGTGCCCGACTACTTCCATCAATAACAAACTACATTTCTGGTGGCTATTGTTGGCTTTGGCGCCTCCAGCAATTGAAATACGCATTTATTGCGTGCACATCTTTCTGGATTGTTCCAGGACCAGATTGTTCACCAGTTTTTCAGCTGCAACAATGAGGGACATTTCATATGATTGTCACTGGCACAGGAACCGAGCAAGTACGGGGAAACCCGATTGCATTGGTGTTGAAACTTCAGCTAAGACTAATTCTGTATTTAAGGTCAGTTCTTCACACATTTTTAGGGTGCTGCGTGGTCTCAAGGTATGGTGTCCACCTTAAGTGCTGGAGGTCCAGGGTTCAAGCCCCGGTGAAGGCTAGGATTTTTTCACGGTGACTTCTAGCAAATTTCCTAGGACTCTGGGTAGGGAGATTGGACGCCCGTGTGCATTGCTGTGCATGTTAAAAAAAAACAACCTTGGCAGTTGGAAATTGAAAAGAGTAGTCTTAAGTATTTCAGGATCCTCGCCAGTGCAACGGAGTTCGTGCACTGCGCTAAGATTCTTCAGACTCAGCCTTGAGTTAGGACGGAGCACTTATGGGTTACACTTGTGGCGAGGATGTTGATTCGTCAAAGAAACTTAAACACTGTTATGATAATGGTCGGTACAGTGGTACAGTCTGAAGAGTATTTCCCACGTTGTGGGAGATTTCTTTGATGTTTTTAAATGGCCAAGATATTTCTGAACAGTTTGTTAACTGTGATTTTGATCATTCTTACTAACTGCGAAAACATCATCGAAAGTGAAAGGCTAATCTTTTTGCTTATCAGCATTGCAATGAATGAAACAGGGAAATGTTCCAAGTTACTCTTGTCATGTTCCCTTACCAAACAGATATAGACATGTCTCTCCACAGATCTTGGTCCTTGCTTCCCTGATCTGCTTCAATTCATCAACATTTGGAGAGATAATGATTTATTCTCCTTGCTTCACTGATCTGCTTCAGTTCATCAATACTTGGAGAGATAATGATTTATTCTCCTTACTTCGCTGATCTGCTTCAGTTCATCAATACTTGGAGAGATAATGATTTATTCTCCTTACTTCCCTGATCTGCTTCAGTTCATCAATACTTGGAGAGATAATGATTTATTCTCCTTACTTCCCTGATCTGCTTCAGTTCATCAATAGAGATAATGATTTATTCTCCTTACTTCCCTGATCTGCTTCAGTTCATCAATACTTGGAGAGATAATGATTTATTCTCCTTACTTCCCTGATCTGCTTCAGTTCATCAACACTTGGAGAGATAATGATTTATTCTCCTTACTTCCCTGATCTGCTTCAGTTCATCAATACTTGGAGAGAGAATGATTTATTCTCCTTACTTCCCTGATCTGCTTCAGTTCATCAACACTTAGAGAGATAATGATATGTTCTCTTTGCTTCTTACAACCACTGGGAGTATGTGAGCTCTGCTTGTTGGAGTGACTTCCAACATAACACACAACCACTGTACTAAGGTCTCTCCAAGAAGTATAAAGTGTGTGTGGCCTTTTGAAGAGACTTCTGATTAGTGATTTTGTGTGGTTTGTTTCAGATAATAAAACTGCTTAATTTATGTCATAAGCTGATGAAAGCTTTCAGGCCAAAACATTCCTGTGTGATAGTGATAATGTGAAGCTGGCTAGTTGTGCTGCTCTGGTTTGATTGGAAATCTGTTCATAGCTTCGCTGCTGCTCTGGTTTGATTGGATATCTGTTCATAGCTTCGCTGCTGCTCTGGTTTGATTGGATATCTGTTCATAGCTTCGCTGCTGCTCTGGTTTGATTGGAAATCTGTTCATAGCTTCGCTGCTGCTCTGGTTTGATTGGATATCTGTTCATTGCTTCGCTGCTGCTCTGGTTTGATTGGATATCTGTTCACAGCTTCGCTGCTGCTCTGGTTTGATTGGATATCTGTTCATAGCTTCGCTGCTGCTCTGGTTTGATTGGATATCTGTTCATAGCTTCGCTGCTGCTCTGGTTTGATTGGATATCCGTTCATAGCTTCGCTGCTGCTCTGGTTTGATTGGATATCTCTTCATAGCTTCGCTGCTGCTCTGGGTTGATTGGATATCTGTTCATAGCTTTGCTGCTGCTCTGGTTTGATTGGATATCTGTTCACAGCTTCGCTGCTGCTCTGGTTTGATTGGATATCTGTTCATAGCTTCGCTGCTGTTCTGGTTTGATTGGATATCCGTTCATAGCTTCACTGCTGCTCTGGTTTGATTGGATATCTCTTCATAGCTTCGCTGCTGCTCTGGGTTGATTGGATATCTGTTCATAGCTTTGCTGCTGCTCTGGTTTGATTGGATATCTGTTCACAGCTTCGCTGCTGCTCTGGTTTGATTGGATATCTGTTCATAGCTTCGCTGCTGCTCTGGTTTGATTGGATATCTGTTCACAGCTTCGCTGCTATTCTGATTTGATTGGATATCTGTTCATAGCTTTGCTACTGCTCTCGAATGTGCCCGTTGGAACTGTTGTTGTTTATTTTTGTAACTATATTTTGTTCAATACGAGAGTCAACAATGAACAGACAGAAATCAAGTCAACAGGAATACTGAAGCAGTACCTAAAAATAGCAGAGTGCAAAGGTTAAGCAGGCATCTGAGTTTAGATATTTGGTAACAAAATTCACAGAAGATAGGAAATTAGATGAAGAAATTCACATTAGTGCAGTAAAGCAAACCAAGTAGTGCCACAGCTAGCTTCCTAAAGTTAATCCCAGTCAGTACACAGAAACATCTCATCTCATATTCATCCAACCCTGTGCTAGCAGTGCCAGACATGGTCACTCACAACAAATCAGAAAAGACAAATGAATAACCATGGAAGTGAGAGAGAGGTCTGAGAAGAACTGCAGAAGTGACCAGAAGACAGAAAAATCAGGAATGAGGTTATAAGAAAGACAAACACACAAAAATAGGCACAGAATCCGTTTAAAAAAAACGACAGCAGATCAAGTGGTTTGCCTGCTTAGAACACCTTATGATGCCACAATCAAATAAGACATACACCACAAGAGGAGAAGGATAACACAGAGCAGAAGCTTGACCAAGAACAATATGGAAAGATAACATCAGAGGTTGCCAGAAGCAGCAACAGAAGAAATACTGTGTATATAGGAAAGAGGAAGGGGGAGGTGGGCAGAAGAGGGTCTGCAACAAACATACAAAGAGAGAGAGAGAGCAGATGTGAACTCACTAAGAAACAACAAACACACTGTAGTAGACAGAACAGAACACAAATTTCTATTTGGCCAATCTTTATTTTCTAAGACTGGGAAATGACAAAGTGCAGACACTTTGTGACATGGTACACAGGTTATCTCCCCTATCAGCCAGTTGATTCCCATTTTGAGACAGCAGAGAATCATCTCGTTAACGACCTTGTTCATGCAGCTGTCAACTGTGTGTGGTTGTTGACACCAGAACCAGTGCTGTACACTTGATCCTGGCACCTGTTGCTAAGACACCAGTTTCACAGACCCTTCTTCAATGATTGCCCGTGAGAGGTTCTTGGCCAAGGCCTTCCGCAGACACTGGAGTTTGTCCAGCTCTGAGTCTGCCAGGTTCTGCAAGTATATTTAGAGAGCAAACAGGTTTCAGTCACCAGAATTTACATGACACACACATTGTATCAACAGATTAACTCCCCCGTGTGGGTTCCGGAGCCCCATTGTGGGGAAAACAAGAATAGACCCACTGCCTACCCAAAAGCATGTCATAAGAGTTGACTAACTGGGGAGCTTCCTTTGAAGTCGGAGTGCATCTGCCGGAGAGGCAAGGAACCAACAGTCTGTATTCAAGAGAATGAGATCTGTAAAACTGATGCACACGCAACACTCAGGTTCTGGAGCAGGACTGCAGTTCAGTAGTGGGCGAGCAACCAGAACTTTCCGCCAGAGTGTACAGCTGGTAAACATGAAGAAGAAGAATAGATTAACTTTATGTGATTTTATTGAACTGTGTAAAAAAAAAAAAATGAATAGAGATATTTCAATAAAACATTAATCTGTATATAGTAGAGGTGATTAATGATAACAGTGAAGCCATGTGACAGTTTCAGATATAATTATGGTAAATTTTTAGACGAAGTGAAATAGGGTTTAAGGAAGTGGTTACATAAAAAATGTATACATTCAGACCAGCATCAATGCACGCCAATCCATCACTGGGTGGCATGATAGAAAACGGTGATTAGAACGCTGGTCAGACAAGGCCAAACAGATACGCCAGGAACCTTTAGGGGAGTACGTATGGACAGGTGTACGGACCAGAGTTGATTGAACACATAACAAATGAAGCCGTGACATCTGACATTGACGGATGTACACGCATGATAGTCGGCTCTGTGGCTAAGTCGATGCGAACACTTTGCTTCGTAATGCCGGGATGCCGGGTTCGACCCCAGCTGCGGGCAATGCACCTTGCGTTGGTTTCGACAGTGGTATCAAGAAAGCCGACCGTCCAGAAAGCAATGGAAAACTACTGGGCGTAAATTTGCCTAGAAAAACCACACAACAGCCAGGGGCTGTTAGGGTTGGTTCTGCAATGTCCTGTAAAAAAACACACATGATAAGCAGGCAAGCCGAACAGAGAGAACAGGTGTCAGGAAGATAAGATGACGGACAATAGCCTCTAGAGGGACCACGTACGGACGATCGCAAACGACCACCTGGAGACGATAAGATGGAACAGGATGAAAGGTGACAGGCGGTGATTGAGACTCACTTGAGGGAGGATAGGAAGCGGGTGAAGAAATCACTGACACTGTCTGCCCATACCTTTGGTTCTCTCACATACAGTTTGCCCAGACCTCACGTTCTCTCACATACAGTCTGCCCAGACCTTCGGTTCCCTCACACAGTCTGCCCAGACCTTCAGTTCCCTCACACAGTCTACCCAGACTTTCAGTTCCCTCACACACATAGTCTGCCCAGACCTTCAGTTCCCTCACACACAAACAGTCTGCCCAGACCTTCGGTTCCCTCACACACACAGTCTGCCCAGACCTTCGGTTCCCTCACACACACAGTCTGCCCAGACCTTCGGTTCTCTCACACACACAGTCTGCCCAGACCTTCAGTTCCCTCAAACACAGTCTGCCCAGACCTTCAGTTCCCTCACACACACAGTCTGCCCAGACCTTCAGTTCCCTCACACACAGTCTGCCCAGACCTTCGGTTCCCTCACACACACAGTCTGCCCAGACCTTCAGTTCCCTCACACACACAGTCTGCCCAGACCTTCAGTTCCCTCACACACAAACACAGTCTGCCCAGACCTTCAGTTCCCTCACACACAGTCTGCCCAGACCTTCAGTTCCCTCACACACAGTCTGCCCAGACCTTCAGTTCCCTCACACACAGTCTGCCCAGACCTTCGGTTCCCTCACACACACAGTCTGCCCAGACCTTCAGTTCCCTCACACACACAGTCTGCCCAGACCTTCAGTTCCCTCACACACAAACACAGTCTGCCCAGACCTTCAGTTCCCTCACACACAGTCTGCCCAGACCTTCAGTTCCCTCACACACACAGTCTGCCCAGACCTTCGGTTCTCTCACACACACAGTCTGCCCAGACTTTCAGTTCCCTCACACACAGTCTGCCCAGACCTTCAGTTCCCTCACACACAGTCTGCCCAGACCTTCAGTTCCCTCACACACAGTCTGCCCAGACCTTCGGTTCTCTCACACACACAGTCTGCCCAGACTTTCAGTTCCCTCACACACAGTCTGCCCAGACCTTCAGTTCCCTCACACACAGTCTGCCCAGACCTTCAGTTCCCTCACACACAGTCTGCCCAGACCTTCAGTTCCCTCACACACAGTCTGCCCAGACCTTCAGTTCCCTCACACACAGTCTGCCCAGACTTTCAGTTCCCTCACACACAGTCTGCCCAGACCTTCAGTTCCCTCACACACAGTCTGCCCAGACCTTCAGTTCCCTCACACACAGTCTGCCCAGACCTTCAGTTCCCTCACACACAGTCTGCCCAGACCTTCAGTTCCCTCAAACACACAGTCTGCCCAGACTTTCAGTTCCCTCAAACACACAGTCTGCCCAGACTTTCAGTTCCCTCACACACAGTCTGCCCAGACTTTCAGTTCCCTTAAACACACAGTCTGCTCAGACTTTCAGTTCCCTCACACACAGTCTGCCCAGACCTTCAGTTCCCTCACACACAGTCTGCCCAGACCTTCAGTTCCCTCACACACAGTCTGCTCAGACCTTCAGTTCCCTCATACACAGTCTGCCCAGACCTTCAGTTCCCTCAAACACACAGTCTGCCTAGACCTTCAGTTCCCTCACACACAGTCTGCCCAGACCTTCAGTTCCCTCACACACAGTCTGCCCAGACCTTCAGTTCCCTCAAACACACAGTCTGCCCAGACTTTCAGTTCCCTCAAACACACAGTCTGCCCAGACCTTCAGTTCCCTCACACACAGTCTGCCCAGACCTTCAGTTCCCTCACACACAGTCTGCTCAGACCTTCAGTTCCCTCATACACAGTCTGCCCAGACCTTCAGTTCCCTCAAACACACAGTCTGCCTAGACCTTCAGTTCCCTCAAACACAGTCTGCCCAGACCTTCAGTTCCCTCACACACAGTCTGCCCAGACCTTCAGTTCCCTCAAACACACAGTCTGCCCAGACTTTCAGTTTCCTCACACACAGTCTGCCCAGACCTTCAGTTCCCTCACACACAGTCTGCCCAGACCTTCAGTTCCCTCACACACAGTCTGCCCAGACCTTCAGTTCCCTCAAACACACAGTCTGCCTAGACCTTCAGTTCCCTCACACACAGTCTGCCCAGACCTTCAGTTCCCTCAAACACAGTCTGCCCAGACCTTCAGTTCCCTCACACACAGTCTGCCCAGACCTTCAGTTCCCTCAAACACACAGTCTGCCCAGACCTTCAGTTCCCTCACACACAGTCTGCCCAGACCTTCAGTTCCCTCAAACACACAGTCTGCCCAGACCTTCGGTTCCCTCACACACAGTCTGCCCAGACCTTCAGTTCCCTCACACACAGTCTGCCCAGACCTTCAGTTCCCTCAAACACACAGTCAGCCCAAGCCTTCAGTTCCCTCAAACACACAGTCTGCCCAAGCCTTCAGTTCCATTTTCTAGACTGAAGCTGTCATGAGCACATGGTGCCAGCCTCAAGTTTACAAACCCTATTTAAACTTATCAGACTAAGCTGTCTTTACTTCCCACGACAGCTGTGGAGCCAGTAACTGGGTACTGGGCTCGGAGAACTCTGCACACAGCTGTGGAGCCAGTAACTGGGTACTGGGCTCGGAGAACTCTGCACACAGCTGTGGAGCCAGTAACTGGGCTCGGGGAGAACTCTGCACAGAGCGCTGTGGAGACAATAACTTGGTTATTACTGGGGTTCCGGTAAAGTGAGCACCATTGTGCTGAACTTCTGTTATATCTCAGTCTTCTCAAGGACTGTCAACCAACTCCATCACCTGGTGAGTCCTGAAGAATGTGCAGTGCCTTCCTGTGACCTCAGGCACCAGTTCTCTTCGTTGACCGACCTGGCTTTCTGCTCACCTTCATTACTGCATTTGTCCTGGTGTTGTCAGCCTGTCCTAATGTTGCTAGTAATTTTCCTTCTGGGTCACATATCCAGCCCGAGAGCTGCTTAACCTGCAGATAGACATCAATGCTGGCCTACTTCAGGTCATCATTAAAGAAACTTATCATATATACAGACCTTGTAATTGTCCGTGCTGTCTCGCTGAAGCTCTTCCAGGCAGTACATCACCTCATACGTCTTCTGTACATCTAGCACCACCTGTGTGGAGAGACCAAAGTTTGTAACATTAGCTCTCAGATTGAGTCATCTCCCCTTCTCACTGTGTGGAGAGACCAAAGTTTGTAACATTAGCTCTCAGACTGAGTCATCTCCCCTTCTCAGTGTGTGGAGAGACCAAAGTTTGTAACATTAGCTCTCTGAGTCATCTCCCCTTCTCACTGTGTGGAGAGACCAAAATTTGTAACATTAGCTCTCTGAGTCATCTCCCCTTCTCACTGTGTGGAGAGACCAAAATTTGTAACATTAGCTCTCTGAGTCATCTCCCCTTCTTAATGTGTGGAGAGACCAAAGTTTGTAACATTAACTCTCTGAGTCATCTCCCCTTCTCAATGTGTGGAGAGACCAAAGTTTGTAACACAAGCTCTCAGACTGAGTCATCTCCCCTTCTCAATGTGTGGAGAGAGCAAAGTTTGTAAGATAAGCTCTCAGACTGAGTCATCTCCCCTTCTCGATGTGTGGAGAGAGACCAAAGTTTGTAACTTCAGTTCTCAGACTGGTTTAATCTCCCCTTCTCACTGTGTGGACAGACTAAAGTTTGTAACATTAGTTCTCGGACTTGAGTTATCTCCCCTCCTCAATAATGCAAAATGTAAACCGATCTCCGCAGCTGAAGCTAAACTGAAACAGCACAAACACAGACTAAAAATTTAAGTCACACAATCTACAGCTGGACTGCCAGCGTACCAACTGTTGAGAGAACCAGGTCACTGACCTGTGAGAGTTCCAACAGCGGCAGGACATCCATCAACATGGTCATCCAGAAGCTGCAGACGGAGACAAACACATCATTGTTACCATTAGGAATGATGTATAACAACCACAATAAATGTTGTATAACAAACACAATGGATGCTGTTGTATAAGGAATACAATTGATGTTGTATAACAAACACAATTAATGTTGTATGTATAACAAACACAATGAATGTTGTTAAACAACAACAATGGATGTTGTCATATAACAAACACAATTAAAGTTGTTAAACAGCAATGAATGTTGTTATATAACAAACACAATGGATGTTGTATAACAAACCACAATGGATGTTGTATAACAAACACAATGGATGTTGTATAACAACAACCATGCATGTTGTATAACAAACACAATGGATGTTGGATAACAAACATGACGCATGTCATATAACAACAACAATGGATGTTGTATAACAAACACAATGGATGTCGTTTAACAACAACAATGGATGTTGTATAACAAACACAATGGATGTCGTTTAACAACAACAATGGATGTTGTATAACAAACACAATGGATGTCATATAACAACAACAATGGATGTTGTATAACAACAACAGTTGATGTTGTATAACAAACACAATGGACGTTGTATAACAAACACAATAAATGTCATATAACAACAACAATGGATGTTGTATAACAACAACAATGGTAGTTGTAGAACAAACACAATGGATATCATATAGCAACAACAATGGATTTTGTATAACAACAACATTGGATGTCATATAACAACAACTATGGATGTTGTGTAACAACAACAATGGATGTTGTGTAACAAACACAATGGATGTTGTATAACAAACCACAATGGATGTTGTATAAAAAACACAATGGATGTTGTATAACAAACACAATCGATGTTGTATAACAACAACCATAAATGTTGTATAACAAACATAATGGATGTTGTAGAACAAACACAATGGATGTTGTCGTTATAAAAAACACAAAAGATATCTCTGATATCTCTCTGGTCCACAGCCATAAACTCGTTCATGTACACAGTTATTACATCTCTGATATCTCTCTGGTCTACAGCTATAAACTTGTTTATGTACACAGTTATTACATCTCTGGTATCTCTCTGGTAGTCTACAGCCACAAACTTGTTTATGTACACAGTTATTACATCTCTGGTATCTCTCTGGTGGTCTACAGCCACAAACTTGTTTATGTACACAGTTATTACATCTCTGGTATCTCTCTGGTGGTCTACAGCCATAAACTTGTTTATGTACACAGTTATTACATCTCTGGTATCTCCCTAGTGGTCTACAGCCCCAAACTTGTTTATGTACACAGTTATTACATCTCTGATATCTCCCTAGTGGTCTACAGCCACAAACTTGTTTTTGTACACAGTTATTACATCTCTGGTATCTCTCTGGTGGTCTACAGCCATAAACTTGTTTATGTACACAGTTATTACATCTCTGATATCTCCCTAGCCATTTCTGTCTTTAAGCCTCGCAAGTACCAGGTGATAATGAGCCACTTGTGACAGACCCTTTTTTATGTGTTTTCACGAAACTCTCTGTATATGTGCCTGTGTATGTTTGTGTATATATCTAATATACGCCTAGTGTGTGCGAGTGTGTTTGTACGTGCTTGTGTTTCTGTCTCTGCGTCTGTATGACGCTCCGCCTGTGTGTGGCTATGTGTCTACATGTAGGTATTTGTAGCCGTCTGTGTGTGTGCAGGTATTTTCAACAGTATCGATGTGTGCGTCAATGTGATGTGTCTGTGTTGTATCTATGAGTGTGCCTTCAGTCCGTACCTGTGTGTGCTGGTTTGTCTGGGTGTGTGCAGTGCCTGTGTCTGTGCATGTGTACGTGCACATCATGCATTTTCGCATGTATTTTTTAAGGTATGCATTTCCCATCCCTGCTTCTGTAAAGTTTGTTCGTTCTATCATTGATACTATGAATTTTGATTTATGAACTTAATAAGCTTGAAATATAAAATACAACCACTGAGTGAAAGATGACAGTTTGAAACGGCTTAATATATGAAAGGCCTTTGGAAAGAAAGTTTGTTTCTTGGTTCCTCATATAAAAGACTTCTCTAGCACATATTTGAGGAGTCTGTGACGCTGGCAGCGTAACTTTCCTCAGGTGACGACACAGCCTCCCACAGCTGGCATCTACAGCCAGACAGTTGGACTGATGACACAGCCTCCCACAGCTAGCATCTACAGCCAGACAGTTGGACTGATGACACAGCCTCCCACAGCTAGCATCTACAGCCAGACAGTTGGACTGATGACACAGCCTCCCACAGCTGACATCTACAGCCACACAGTTGGACTGATGACACAGCCTCCCACAGCTAGCATCTACAGCCACACAGTTGGACTGATGACACAGCCTCCCACAGCTAGCATCTACAGCCACACAGTTGGACTGATGACACAGCCTCCCACAGCTAGCATCTACAGCCAGACAGTTGGACTGATGACACAGCCTCCCACAGCTGACATCTACAGCCAGACAGTTGGACTGATGACACAGCCTCCCACAGCTAGCATCTACAGCCAGACAGTTGGACTGATGACACAGCCTCCCACAGCTGACATCTACAGCCACACAGTTGGACTGATGACACAGCCTCCCACAGCTGACATCTACAGCCAGACAGTTCAACTGATGACACAGCCTCCCACAGCTAGCATCTACAGCCAGACAGTTCAACTGATGACACAGCCTCCCACAGCTAGCATCTACAGCCAGACAGTTGGACTGATGACACAGCCTCCCACAGCTGACATCTACAGCCAGACAGTTCAACTGATGACACAGCCTCCAACAGCTGACATCTACAGCCAGACAGTTGGACTGATGACACAGCCTCCCACAGCTAGCATCTACAGCCAGACAGTTGGACTGATGACACAGCCTCCCACAGCTAGCATCTACAGCCAGACAGTTCAACTGATGACACAGCCTCCCACAGCTAGCATCTACAGCCAGACAGTTGGACTGATGACACAGCCTCCCACAGCTGACATCTACAGCCAGACAGTTGGACTGATGACACAGCCTCCCACAGCTAGCATCTACAGCCACACAGTTGGACTGATGACACAGCCTCCCACAGCTAGCATCTACAGCCACACAGTTGGACTGATGACACAGCCTCCCACAGCTGACATCTACAGCCAGACAGTTGGACTGATGACACAGCCTCCCACAGCTAGCATCTACAGCTTCTACAGTTGGACTGATGACACAGCCTCCCACAGCTAGCATCTACAGCCACACAGTTGGACTGATGACACAGCCTCCCACAGCTAGCATCTACAGCCACACAGTTGGACTGATGACACAGCCTCCCACAGCTAGCATCTACAGCCACACAGTTGGACTGATGACACAGCCTCCCACAGCTAGCATCTACAGCCAGACAGTTGGACTGATGACACAGCCTCCCACAGCTAGCATCTACAGCCAGACAGTTGGACTGATGACACAGCCTCCCACAGCTAGCATCTACAGCCAGACAGTTGGACTGATGACACAGCCTCCCACAGCTAGCATCTACAGCCAGACAGTTCAACTGATGACACAGCCTCCCACAGCTAGCATCTACAGCCAGACAGTTGGACTGATGACACAGCCTCCCACAGCTAGCATCTACAGCCAGACAGTTCGACTGATGACACAGCCTCCCACAGCTGACATCTACAGCCACACAGTTGGACTGATGACACAGCCTCCCACAGCTGACATCTACAGCCACACAGTTGGACTGATGACACAGCCTCCCACAGCTGACATCTACAGCCACACAGTTGGACTGATGACACAGCCTCCCACAGCTGACATCTACAGCCACACAGTTGGACTGATGACACAGCCTCCCACAGCTGACATCTACAGCCACACAGTTGGACTGATGACACAGCCTCCCACAGCTGACATCTACAGCCACACAGTTGGACTGATGACACAGCCTCCCACAGCTGACATCTACAGCCACACAGTTGGACTGATGACACAGCCTCCCACAGCTGACATCTACAGCCACACAGTTGGACTGATGACACAGCCTCCCACAGCTGACATCTACAGCCAGACAGTTCAACTGATGACACAGCCTCCCACAGCTAGCATCTACAGCCAGACAGTTGGACTGATGACACAGCCTCCCACAGCTAGCATCTACAGCCAGACAGTTCAACTGATGACACAGCCTCCCACAGCTGGCATCTACAGCCAGACAGTTGGACTGATGACACAGCCTCCCACAGCTAGCATCTACAGCCACACAGTTCAACTGATGACACAGCCTCCCACAGCTGACATCTACAGCCAGACAGTTGGACTGATGACACAGCCTCCCACAGCTGACATCTACAGCCACACAGTTGGACTGATGACACAGCCTCCCACAGCTGACATCTACAGCCACACAGTTGGACTGATGACACAGCCTCCCACAGCTAGCATCTACAGCCACACAGTTCGACTGATGACACAGCCTCCCACAGCTAGCATCTACAGCCACACAGTTGGACTGATGACACAGCCTCCCACAGCTAGCATCTACAGCCACACAGTTGGACTGATGACACAGCCTCCCACAGCTAGCATCTACAGCCAGACAGTTGGACTGATGACACAGCCTCCCGCAGCTAGCATCTACAGCCAGACAGTTGGACTGATGACACAGCCTCCCACAGCTAGCATCTACAGCCAGACAGTCCCACAGGACATATTTCAGTTCAACTGCATGACACAGCCTCCCACGCAGCATCTACAGCCACACAGTTCAACTGATGACACAGCCTCCCACAGCTAGCATCTACAGCCAGACAGTTGGACTGATGACACAGCCTCCCACAGCTAGCATCTACAGCCAGACAGTTGGACTGATGACACAGCCTCCCACAGCTGGCATCTACAGCCAGACAGTTGGACTGATGACACAGCCTCCCACAGCTAGCATCTACAGCCACACAGTTCAACTGATGACACAGCCTCCCACAGCTAGCATCTACAGCCAGACAGTTGGACTGATGACACAGCCTCCCACAGCTAGCATCTACAGCCAGACAGTTGGACTGATGACACAGCCTCCCACAGCTGACATCTACAGCCACACAGTTGGACTGATGACACAGCCTCCCACAGCTGACATCTACAGCCACACAGTTGGACTGATGACACAGCCTCCCACAGCTGACATCTACAGCCACACAGTTGGACTGATGACAAAGCCTCCCACAGCTGACATCTACAGCCACACAGTTGGACTGATGACACAGCCTCCCACAGCTGACATCTACAGCCACACAGTTGGACTGATGACACAGCCTCCCACAGCTGACATCTACAGCCACACAGTTGGACTGATGACACAGCCTCCCACAGCTGACATCTACAGCCACACAGTTGGACTGATGACACAGCCTCCCACAGCTGACATCTACAGCCACACAGTTGGACTGATGACACAGCCTCCCACAGCTGACATCTACAGCCAGACAGTTCAACTGATGACACAGCCTCCCACAGCTGACATCTACAGCCAGACAGTTCAACTGATGACACAGCCTCCCACAGCTAGCATCTACAGCCAGACAGTTCAACTGATGACACAGCCTCCCACAGCTAGCATCTACAGCCAGACAGTTGGACTGATGACACAGCCTCCCACAGCTAGCATCTACAGCCACACAGTTCAACTGATGACACAGCCTCCCACAGCTAGCATCTACAGCCAGACAGTTCAACTGATGACACAGCCTCCCACAGCTGACATCTACAGCCAGACAGTTCAACTGATGACACAGCCTCCCACAGCTGACATCTACAGCCAGACAGTTCAACTGATGACACAGCCTCCCACAGCTGACATCTACAGCCAGACAGTTCAACTGATGACACAGCGTCCCACAGCTGACATCTACAGCCAGACAGTTGGACTGATGACACAGCCTCCCACAGCTGACATCTACAGCCAGACAGTTCAACTGATGACACAGCCTCCCACAGCTGACATCTACAGCCAGACAGTTCAACTGATGACACAGCCTCCCACAGCTGACATCTACAGCCAGACAGTTCAACTGATGACACAGCCTCCCACAGCTGACATCTACAGCCAGACAGTTCAACTGATGACACAGCCTCCCACAGCTGACATCTACAGCCAGACAGTTCAACTGATGACACAGCCTCCCACAGCTGACATCTACAGCCAGACAGTTCAACTGATGACACAGCCTCCCACAGCTGACATCTACAGCCAGACAGTTCAACTGATGACACAGCCTCCCACAGCTGACATCTACAGCCAGACAGTTCAACTGATGACACAGCCTCCCACAGCTGACATCTACAGCCAGACAGTTCAACTGATGACACAGCCTCCCACAGCTGACATCTACAGCCAGACAGTTCAACTGATGACACAGCCTCCCACAGCTGACATCTACAGCCACACAGTTGGACTGATGACACAGCCTCCCACAGCTGACATCTACAGCCACACCGTTGGACTGATGACACAGCCTCCCACAGCTGACATCTACAGCCACACAGTTGGACTGATGACACAGCCTCCCACAGCTGACATCTACAGCCACACAGTTGGACTGATGACACAGCCTCCCACAGCTGACATCTACAGCCACACAGTTGGACTGATGACACAGCCTCCCACAGCTGACATCTACAGCCAGACAGTTCAACTGATGACACAGCCTCCCACAGCTGACATCTACAGCCAGACAGTTCAACTGATGACACAGCCTCCCACAGCTAGCATCTACAGCCAGACAGTTCAACTGATGACACAGCCTCCCACAGCTAGCATCTACAGCCACACAGTTCAACTGATGACACAGCCTCCCACAGCTAGCATCTACAGCCACACAGTTCAACTGATGACACAGCCTCCCACAGCTAGCATCTACAGCCAGACAGTTCAACTGATGACACAGCCTCCCACAGCTGACATCTACAGCCAGACAGTTCAACTGATGACACAGCCTCCCACAGCTAGCATCTACAGCCACACAGTTCAACTGATGACACAGCCTCCCACAGCTGACATCTACAGCCAGACAGTTGGACTGATGACACAGCCTCCCACAGCTGACATCTACAGCCAGACAGTTCAACTGATGACACAGCCTCCCACAGCTAGCATCTACAGCCAGACAGTTGGACTGATGAAACCAGACACTGACCAAGGCTCCTGGGCACAAAGACCATCTGACAATTTCCTTCAGCATTGAGGAGAACTGGTTGTCCTAAAAGCTGAGCTATTCTGGCCATGTTAAATGCCACAGTGGCCTGGAGAGAATGGGGATGGAAGGTTCAGTTTTCAGAGGTGGATACATGACATTCGCTATGAAAGCACAGGGGTCAGAGAATTTGCTACAGAAATAGAGAATTTCAGGCAATCCCAGATGACAGCCCCGTTCTGTACAGGACCTGCTAACTGAATATGATGAGCTGGCTCCGCAGTTTTGAAGTTTCAGCTGGTATCAAATCAACATTACAATTCAGTAGCTTGGTCAACAATTTTCAAGTTTCAGATGGTATTTTTTTTACAAACCATTATAAATGTGAAGCTGGGTCAAGATATTTCAAGTTTCACATATGATATTATATATTTAAAAAAAACACTGTGTACACAGTGGAAATAACAACATATGGATACCTACGTTTTTGGAGCCAGACGTGAAGAAATCAAAGAGAGGAGAAGTGAGCTTGCTGCAGAGATGTCACCGCTGTTGTAGAGGGAGTGGAATTCTCGGTACTTGCCTGCGACATGACAGATAATGTACATACATTTAGTTCAATGTTGTGGGTGCTCCACAGAGACCTACTAATCTAACTAAGAGTAAATATTGAGCAGGCCACTGTGTGGCCAAAGCTGGAACCTTCAAGGGTTTGTCTGGGTGTATGCATTCTTCTTTATTATGTTTTTGGGTAATTCTGTCACCCTGAGAACCCATAAGAGAAGATTTTTCTTATAAATAACAATATATCATAAGTGCCTCGGGTACCCTGTCTGTCTGGTCAAACTTTAAAGGCACACTTGATTGAATGAGAACAGTTAACCTGACTACCATTTAGGTTTTGCTCCGCCACAAGTGTAGACTTTTAATTGGTGCCGTGACCAGGATGGTGCACAAGATTATTTACAGCCTGTCACGATGACGTAACTAGTGCCAAGATTCAATCTTGTTGTTATGGACAGGAACAGCGGTTGAAGAATGAGCTCTAACCTAGCACCAAAAGCAAAATGCACCCAATGAACACTACTATGCCGTGAAATGCTGAAAAAATATGGTAATAGTGACTTGTTTATGAGACTAGTTAATGCTACTGGCTGTGTGTATTAGCTGAGGATGTGAATATATCAACTAAAAATAGCATTGGGGGCTTTCCTTAAAAAAACATGGTTTTGCAAAGCCAGCCTGAGGTCAACAAACCTCAGAGATTGAGGTCACTGCCTGAGTCACTAGATACATATATTTGTAGGGTCCTGGGGAATGTATTCGGTTGATGCATTGCTCCTGTTTATTCTCTTTATGTATTTCTGTACACCCCCCCCCCCCTTTTTTCCCCCAAAGAAAAACATAATATGTTACAGAATTTACTAGTAACATCTAAAGCTGCTGTTTCTAACAGATTTATTTGGAAAATTCGAACGAGGTCACAGCATCTTTTTGTTTTTTTAAAGGATCGAAATGTTGACAAGTGACAGTTAACCCTGACTGAATTAGTTTTACCTATGCTGACAAGTGACAGTTTCCAATACGGTGAGAATGTGAGCAGACAGATTTATTTGGAAAATTCGAACGAGGTCACAGCATCTTTTTGTTTTTTTAAAGGATCGAAATGTTGACAAGTGACAGTTAACCCTGACTGAATTAGTTTTACCTATGCTGACAAGTGACAGTTTCCAATACGGTGAGAATGTGAGCAGACTGAGTTACTTACCAAGAAATGTTAAACTGTTTGTGATCAGCATGGATGGGCCCAGGTGGTCGATGAGATCCAAGTGAGAAAATTTGCCCTGCTCGCAGTACTCTGTGAGAAACCTGGGGACCACACGCCGGCAGCTTATAGTGTATGGAATATCGTTGTCAGCATACAGTCAATGATCAGTCAGCATGTTAGTCAGGTCAATGCTCAGTCAGCATGTTGGTTCAGTCAATGTTTAGTCAGCATGTTGAATCATTCAGTTTTCAGTCAGAATGCTGACTGTCAGTGTTTGCAGCAAAGTGGATATTCAGTGTAAAATAAAATCTTGGAACATACAAATAATGTGGGGCAGAATATGCAGCACTATGAATTAATGCAGTCAATGACTGAAAACTTGACTGTCTGTGTCAGGTCTGATCTGTGTCAGGTCGGAACCAGGTCTGGTCTATGTCAGGCCTGAACAAGTCTGGTCTATGTCAGGTCTGAATCAAGTCTGGTCTATGTCAGCCACTTTACTATCAAAAATTCTGCATTTGGAAAATAAGACTAAGAAACAAGAGTGATTTGGGAACCTGCAGTTGGGCAGGGCAGATAAAAAGGGAGAGACTGATCTTCTTGCACAAAAAAACAACAGCATTATATTCCATGGGAACTCGGAGACAGAAGGAGAATGATCAGTAGACACAAGAACATTTCGCTACAAAAAAATGTGTCTGCAATCAGCACTTCACTAATTGAACAATCTTCTCCAGGCCAAAGAGTCCCCTTGAGACAAATGTCTGTTCACACACAGAAACTCACAATAAAAAAACACGACACCTTGGTTGACAACCACGACTCACCTGTCGGTGACTTGTTTAATCACAATGGCATCCTTGAAGTTGGAGAAACAAAATACTACAGATTAAACAACAGACAAAATGTCTAGCCAATAATGTCACCAAAAAGTTCACACACAAAATTTCGATTAAAAATTTTTTTAAAGGGAAAAATAAAGTATTCATGACACTCGTGAAAAAAATACATCCATACACAATCACATTTCACTGATTTGTCTCAAAACGTTATAGGCAATCATTCATGGACAGTAAATGACACATTTACACCTGAACAACTTAATAAATCTTTCACTGACTAAAAAAAGAAATCTGACAAAATCTTAAAATGCAAGGCAACTCAGAAAAACATATGCACATATATGTATTTATAATATATTTACACACACACATCTATATATATATATATATATATATATATATATATTATATATATATATATATATATATATATATATATATATATATATATATATATATATATATATATATATATATATATATATATATATATATAAAATATAAATACACACACATAAATATTTATATATATATATTACACAATTTTCCCCCCTAAAGCACACAAGAGAGAAGAGGGGAAAAAAGACTGAAAAAGAAGGACGAGTGGTACAGAAGGATTGAGGAAGTCAGTAATTGTGAAAGAGAAGGGAGGGAAAGGGTGAGTGAGTGAGATAGAAGGAGTGAGAAATACAGTGACAGTGAGTGAGAGAAGGGAGGGAGAGAAAGGGTGTGAGATAGAAGGAGTGAGACAGACAGTAATAGTGAGAGAGAGAAGGGAGTGAAAGGGTGAGTGAGACATGAAATGAGTGGAGTGTCTTAAACAACAATGGGGACCAGACTCCCAGACTGAAACAAGAATGCCACCTGACCTTGGACTTGAGAAACCAGGACAGAGCTGAGCCCAGTCTCTCTTGCTGGAGGCATCGCATGCCCATCACCTTACAGATGCTCTGTGCTGGAAGTGGGACACAGGAAAACAACATTCAGTCATCACTTCAAGTTTCATAACACATTTTATTATCATAGTATCAATCATCCGCCAGAGGCCAAACCAATGATCCATGAGCTCCCACAATACAAATGTAACTGTCAGCTGATATTATGAGACAAGCAGGTCTGGCAGAAGCTTCTTCTTGTGATCACTATCTGACACCGAAAGCTGAGTTCTTGTGATCACTGACACTGAAAGCTGAGTTCTTGTGATCACTATCTGACACCAAAAGCTGAGTTCTTATGATCACTATCTGACACTGAAAGCTGAGTTTTTGTGATCACTATCTGACACCGAAAGCTGAGTTCTTGTGATCACTATCTGACACCAAAAGCTGAGTTCTTGTGATCACTATCTGACACCGAAAGCTGAGTTCTTGTGATCACTATCTGACACCGAAAGCTGAGTTCGTGTGATAACTATCTGACACCGAAAGCTGAGTTCGTGTGATAACTATCTGACACCGAAAGCTGAGTTCTTGTGATCACTATCTGACACCAAAAGCTGAGTTCTTGTGATCACTATCTGACACTGAAAGCTGAGTTCTTGTGATTACTATCTGACACTGAAAGCCGAGTTCTTGCGATTACTATCTGACACTGACAGCTGAGTTCTTGTGATCACTATCTGACACCAAAAGCTGAGTTCTTGTGATCACTATCTGACACCAAAAGCTGAGTTCTTGTGATCACTATCTGACACTGAAAGCTGAGTTCTTGTGATTACTATCTGACACTGAAAGCCGAGTTCTTGCGATTACTATCTGACACTGACAGCTGAGTTCTTGTGATTACTATCTGACACTGAAAGCTGAGTTCTTGTGATCACTATCTGACACCAAGAATACCAGATTACTAGTGTGACTTTTGTAAACCCCAGGATCACCCGCACAGCTTCATTCTGTATGTGCTACAGTCTCTAGTTGACTCTTCGAGACAGTAACTCCAATCCATAATTAATCATTGAGATGATTAAGTGCTGGTAAAGCGTGAACAGCATTCTTTGCTCCATATCCATCGCTGCCATAATCTTTAGTGTATTTAGACCTTTCTGAGCCTTTGTCACAACCTCCTCTATGTGATCCTTGAAAGACAAGCTTCTGTCAAAGATTATTCCTATGTACTACAGTCTGCTGTCTCTTTTGATGTCCATGCCATTTATTTTGAGTCTGGGAACATCAGCTATAACAATCCTGTTGTCTAAAGAACATCACAGTACGGTTGCCTTTTCTGGGTTGATTACAGCACTCATCTCTGTACACCAGTCGATCATCTTATCTACTTTTACCTGTAACTCTTCAGCTATTTGATTCTGATCTCTCCCCTTCCTATATACAAGAACATCATCTGCAAATGTCAAAATTCTACCAACTCCAGGTGTTTCCAGGTCCACAATCTTGCTCGTAAAAAACATTGAACAGTACAGGTGAAATTGCAGATCCCTGTGGTAGTCCTGGAGCTATAATAAATGGTTCAGAGGTCCATGAGCCCAGGTGGAGAGCTACCCGGCGAGTGTACAAAACAGCTGCTATCCAGTTTATCAACCAAGGACAGACTCCCTTCTCCATCAGCGCTTTCATCAAGACACTGTATCTGAATCTGTTGTGAGTATCTCCTAAATCTAGTGCCGCTTCCACATTTCCTATCTATTCTGGAAAACTTGGAAGCTGGCAAAGGCACACACAAAAAGTGGCTGCATTTTACCATGTGACCTTCCTCGGCTGGTAACTTTCAAATCATCGTGGACTAAGCTTTCTCTGTTCCAAAAACTTTTAGTTTACCTGCCACTATCTTCTCCATTTTACCAAAGGTGTTTTGTAGGGTTATGATCCTAAAGCTGCCAAGTGTTGAATGATTCTTGCCAGGCTCAGGAAGTGGAATCAGGTAGCTGTGCATCCACATCTGGGACTGAAGCTGTCCTAATGCTCTGGTTGAAGCAAGCAGTCATCTCCACCAGGTCTCCATCACTCATGTCTTTCATGTGGGAGTATCTAACCCCTTCAGGCCCTGTTGCAATTTCTTTCGCCCTTTTCAGAACATGTTTTACATCTTTCACCTGTATGATGTCTTCATAATGTTTGTTCTTTTAAGTGGCTGCCAGATCTTCTCTAAATGTTATCTCCCTCATTGTGGTCTGTCTGTGAAATGAACCTATTTAGGAATGCGTCTCTTTTCTCTTTGTCTGTGGTTAATAGCATACAGTCACTCTATAAACTGTCGCTACTATGCTAGGCCAATCTTTTTTTTCTTTTTGTGAGCATCTTCTTTTGTAGCTTCCAAAACTTTGCCAATGTCTTTTTGCCCCCAATCTCATCAATAAAATGCTCCCATTTGGCTTTTTTTTTGTGTGCCTCTGCTGCACCGTGCTTGAAAAACTATCCTATCTTTCTTATCTCTTTTCACATACTCCAAATCTTCCTGTGAGCTTAGGGCTGCCTGTCACTCTTTCTTTAAAAGCTTTACTGCAGCTCTCTTTAACTTTCATGCCTGTTTTATCTCTTATGTCCACCATGGAGGCTGCACAAAAGTAGATCTGCCGGCCCTCTTATGTGCCCTCTGTCGGAGGCGTCCAAAAAGTGTGTTTATCCGCTCATACTTGAAAGGCCTATTAGCTCCTGAAGCCTCGACTTTCCTGGATTTGGAAATCAATACCAAACATGGCAGATGGTCACTTCCATCATCCCCCAGGACAGTCCATTTGGTTTTCAGTACTACTGACAGGATAACCAGAGCCAGGTCAACAGACATGTCTGCATCACCTGGTAAAATGTTGGATGAATTGGTCAGGTAGCACAGAAATGGCCAGGTACTTGCCCGCCAACCCAAATGTTCAAATCTGCACCATGCTACACTTTTCATTTTTTTTTTTTTTACAAAATTGACCTTGGCTCCCAGGTGGATCCTCGCCTAAACTGGGTATTAGGTAATGTCCTGGGAAGTAAAAGCCGTTGACATAGTGTTGACGACACCACCCACTCGGTCTAGCATCATATGTCTGGCGTAAAAAGTATCCTTTACCTTTTTAGTAGAGAAGAGAACTGGCGGACAACACAGAAAACAGACGGTTGTGGAGCTACATGGTCTGACTACCAATACAGTGGGAAATAGAACACATATGGGCAGTGAGTTAACTGAATGTTCACAAACTGAATGTTCTGGTTTACAAGGGGGCAGAAAGATAACTGAATGTTCACAAACTGAATGTTCTGGTTTACAAGGGGGCAGAAAGATAACTGAATGTTCACAAACTGAATGTTCTGGTTTACAAGGGGGCAGAAAGATAACTGAATGTTCACAAACTGAATGTTCTGGTTTACAAGGGGGCAGAAAGATAACTGAATGTTCACAAACTGAATGTTCTGGTTTACAAGGGGGCAGAAAGATAACTAGATGTTCACAAACTGAATGTTCTGGTTTACAAGGGGGCAGAAAGATAACTGGTTGTTCACAAACTGAATGTTCTGGTTTACAAGGGGACAGAAAGATAACTGGATGTTCACAAACTGAATGTTCTTGTTTACAAGGGGACAGAAAGATAACTGGTAGTTCACAAACTGAATGTTCTGGTTTACAAGGGGACAGAAAGATTTGATTCCGGGTTTCACTTAGAGATCCAGTTGGATAAACAGCCTTGAAATGTGCCTTTTCACAGTTCCATGCAGTCAGGATTTGGCTTTTTGTAGAACTGTTCACTTGTTCACCCAAGGTTGGGAAACCAGGGAGCCCCTCATCAAATGTCCTTATCACATACACTCTCACTTTCTCTCTCACACACATTCTCTCTCTCACACACTCACACAAATGGGTGATAATGTGTGGTAGTACCTTGAGCTGTAAAGTCTCTCTCTTGGCACAAGTGAAGAATCTTGTGTGCCTTGCCTTCAGAGTCTAGGGGTATATGCTCTATGTAAGACTCCAAATATGCCCTGAAATAATCATACAATAGCATCACATGAACATGAGATACAAGTAATAAATCAGGCATGAAACAATATCACCTAAACCTGCAGTGATATAAGCTTTCCAAAAAAAGAAGTACTGCCATAAAATCTTGCTCCAGACATCAGGTCATTTTTTCTTCTTTGGAAAATAATTTCATTCATAATTTAGGCATTCTTAACCCAGCAAAGATCAGTCCTTAGTTTTATTTTACCTGATACAAATAGTTGTGTCTTCTGTGTGGACACAAAAACATACATATACTTTTTCCATTAATTTCCCAACCCTCGAAAATTACTTAATTAGTTGCTTAATTAAAAAAATAAAAAACGGGCATAGAGTTTTGAAACGTTCACAGCACCATTTTAAATGGTTGCTACGCATTAAAAAAGATATGCAAAAAGGTCACACTATTATGGTGGCAATTTTGAATTAGTTTGGCTATTTATAAAAATTTCAAGAGATGTTTTAAAACCAGCATATTTTTCCAGTTCTTAATGAATTTGTTCAATGTCAGTGCAATAAAATGTCTGGGACGTGGTTGGCAATGAACAAAATGAGCTAAATAGGAGCAATTATTTCATGATTGACCAAATATTTCAACATGAAAATGTGAATAATGTGAAAAAAATATTTTCCGTTAACTGTGTTTATTTGTCATGTTACAATGAGCATTTGTAAATGCTTGATTATAAAAGCACCTCTAGCTGAAGTCTAAGCTACTTTGTTCATTAACTGGAGAAGCTGTAGCCCTATGTCTTTGCAGTGAATGTTGATAATCCTCAACTTTGTTGTATAGCTTGAAATAGGGTGTTTCTTCTGGACAGTACTTGCAAGCCTGTCTTCTTTCACCTGCAGCCTTACACACTTTATAGTCTGGTGTGTACCTTCTTTTTCTTCAGCATTCCAAGCACTTGAGGTTCATTGCTGCAGATATCACGCACCTCCATTCATCTCTCTGGCTGGCCCTTTCTTTCCAGTTAGTGACACCAAGTGTTTGCAGGTCTGTCTGGACACTATCTCTCCATCGTCTTCTTGGTCTGCCTCGTGGTCTACGACCATTCATCTCCCTGGGGTATACTGTTTTTACTTCTCTGTCATCTGACATTCTTTCGTCCCAACCATTTCAGTCTATTAGCTCTCATGATGCCAGTGATCAATAGTGATTTAAACAGATTATGAATTTCATTGTTGCTTCTCACTCTCCATTCACCGCTGTTTGCATCATTGATGGGTCCAAAGATTCATCGTAAGACTCTGTTTTAAAAAACCTGTAATAAGGCTTAATCTCTTTTAGTTGTGCTCCAAGTTTCAGAGCCATATAAAACGACTGGTCTAATCAACATTTTATTTATTTTGATCTTGGTGTTGCGAGACAGACACTTTGATGCAGGGCATAGTATACTTTAATTACAGATTGTATTTCTTCTCTCATCATGTTGGAGCAGTTGAAGTTTGCACCCAAGCACTTATAAGTTTCCATTCGTTTGATTTTCATATTATCAACTTGTATGTGGCCGGAGTTTATATCCTTTTCCTGTCTAGTTAATATCATGTATTCTGTCTTATCTTGACTGATAACTAATCCAATTTTATGAGCTGATTCTTTTGAGACAGTCAGCGTTTTAACAGTCTCTAGCTTATTTTCTCCAAAGATATCAATGTCAACAGCATATCCAAGTATTCTCGTAGTTTCTCCTATAGTACACTCTTGTTTCAATTTACTTATAATTTTCTCCAGGGCCAAGTTGAAAAGAAGTGGGGACAGAGCATCACCTTGCTTTAAACCAGATGTTATTTGAAAAGTGTCAGACTTTCTGCCTTTAAAAATTACAATTACAAGTGTCTTCCATACATAGTTTGGTCATGCTAATTAACTTTTTTGGTATTCCAAAGTTCTTCATAGCATTTCATAAACTGTTTCTATGCACACTACCATACGCCTTTTTAAAATACCACAAAAACATTATCTACATCTTTTCTATATTCCTAATTTTGCACTGCTATTTGCCGTAACATGAATATCTGATCTATTGTTGATCTATTCTGCCAGACCTACTTATATGTACTATTGTTTAAGAAGCCTGGTTTTTTATTGGACTGTCCTGTCCATGGCAAGGTGGAGACACCTTTGGGGAAGGGTTTGAACCTTGGCTTTTCATATATTAAAAAAAAAAATGGTGCTCAGTAAGTTGTTGTGCTGTGGTGTGTGGTCCTGAAGGTGTTACAATGTGCCGAAGAACAGCAGGTCTAATAATAGCAAAATTGACATCCTGCCTGAATCTCTTTGCTGTGACCTTATACACAGTTGGCAGTGCTGTAGCTTACATGCTCATTGACCAGAGCTGTTTCAACTAAAAATAAATATATCATATAATAGCAGGTACCAATTATAGGATCTATGTGGGTAAGTGTAGCTTGCACCAGCTGGCTGAAGTAATAGACACCCTCCCCCACACGTTGTTGTATTTTTCTGCAAAAACTGGCCTGTTTATTATTCTACCCTCAAGAATTCCACTTTTCCTAAAGCTCTTATCCATATCATAATTGGAGTAAACAGTAGATTTCAGGTAAACTCTCTTATTGTCATGCCAGGCAATGGCCAACATGCCTTTATCTTTTGTTATATGAAACAAGATGACCTGCCTGTTTCAGTTTCAGCTGCCTTTTCCTCAAACATCAATCGGTGCACACGCAAATGTGTCTGACATGGCAACTTGCTGTTCTTCGCAGTTTCTTTACCCACAAGTTCATTTTGAGCAGCCTTTCTCCGTTTACAAACAGCATTTTCAGCTGTAGAAATGTTCTAGTCTCTTGTGCCATGCCCACTTTGTTTAGATCTCACTACATCACCTGTCATTAAGTCTATCATGGTTGTCACCATTTTCAGTTGTGACATGATGATAACATTCACAGATGAATTTCTGCTTATCCAAGAATTATAATTACCAGCACTACATTCACTGGCCGATTCCTAATCATCAACATGCGCTGGTAATGACAATTATTCAAATGTCACTGAAAACAATGCTTGTATCAGCTCAAAGCGATAATTGTAGGCGCAGCCTTTTTTTTGGAAAAAAAAAAAAAAAAACCTGGATGAAGCTCAATTTGAAGACTATGGGTAAGGCTGTCCATTTGCAGTCTACACGTCCTTAATTCGGCGATCGTCAAAGATGGTCACGAAGGGATGTGATTCGGAAATCTGGCGATCGTCAAAACTGGTCAGCAAAGTGATAACATGAGCAGGACTGTTTCAGGTTTACAGTTGATTATCTCTGCTGCCTTATTCATTAACCTCCTCCTCCCCCTTCTCCAAAGATGGACAAGGATAGGCAGTACGTCTATGTTAAGATGTCAGGAACAAACAAGTGTTCATGTTAAGATGTCAGGAACAAACAAGTGTCTATGTTAAGATGTCAGGAACAAACAAGTGACATGTTAAGATGTCAGGAGCAAACAAGTGTCCATGTTAAGATGTCAGGAGCAAACAAGTGTCCATGTTAAGATGTCAGGAACAAACAAGTGTGTCTATGTTAAGATGTCAGGAACAAACAACTGTGTCCATGTTAAGATGTCAGGAACAAACAAGTGTGTCGATGTTAAGATGTCAGGAACAGACAAGTGTGTCCATGTTAAGATGCCAGGAACAAACAAGTGCATCTATGTTAAGATGTCAGGAACAAACAAGTGTGTCGATGCTAAGATGTCAGGAACAAACAAGTGCGTCGATGCTAAGATGTCAGGAACAAACAAGTGCATCTATTTTAAGATGTCAGGAACAAACAAGTGCATCTATGTTGTCAGGAACAAACAAGTGCATCTATGTTAAGATGTCAGGAACAAACAAGTGCGTCTATGTTAAGATGTCAGGAACAAACAACTGTGTTCATGTTAAGATGTCAGGAACAAACAAGTGCGTCGATGTTAAGGATCTCACCTGCCAAAGACTGGACAGAAGTCTAGATAGTCCACGCCCACTTGCCACAGGCTGAGGACAAACAAGGTCAACATCATAAATATGTATGGGGTCTTCAAGCAGCAATTTGTATGTGAACACTCATAACTAGCACAAATGTGAATACGTGAGTGTGTGTGAATGCGTGAGTGTTTGTGTCTATGTGTGTCTCTGAGTATCAGCATGTGTGTGTTTGTGCGCATGTGTGTGTGTGTCTGCATGTGTGTCTCAGATCAAGTCCAACATTGACAGATTCTCTGTCTCAGATTAAGTAAAACATTGACAGTTTCTCTGTCTTAGCACAAGTCCAACATTGACAGATTCTCTGTCTCAGATTAAGTAAAACATTGACAGATTCTCTATCTTAGCACAAGTCCAACATTGACAGATTCTCTGTCTCAGATCAAGTCCAACATTGACAGATTCTCTGTCTCAGATTAAGTAAAACATTGACAGATTCTATGTCTCAGATCAAGTCCAACACTGACAGATTCTCTGTCTCTAATTAAGTACAACATTGACAGATTCTCTGTCTCAGATTAGGTAAAACATTGACAGATTCTGTCTCAGATTAAGTAAAACATTGACAGATTCTCTGTCTCAGATTAAGTAAAACATTGACAGATTCTCTGTCTTAGCACAAGTCCAACATTGACAGATTCTCTGTCTTAGCAAAAGTCCAACATTGACAGATTCTCTGTCTGAGCTTATCTGACTCTTCCCTGTCTCAGATTTGACTACTGTTGCATCTGTCAGACTAACCTTGTCCATGTACCAGTCCTCATTTCTTGCACAAACAAAGACTGACACAGATACACTACAAGATCTCATCAGTGACTGTTTCTCTTTAGAAAGACTAAGTACTAGTAAGAATACGGAAGAAAGAACATAGCTGAAACTTGATTTGTGACCAGTGCTGGGTTCACCAATAACAATCACAGGAAACATACCTTTTGTGGGACATCAGAGCTGTGGCATACTCTAACAGGAGGTATTCCCTGAGGTTCGAACCAAACCTGTAAATAGAATATTATTTATACATAGTCTAAGTCGATTCACGATTCACGTGTGTAAGCATGTCCATGTTATTTGTACAGGACAGTCCAATAAGAGAAACAGACTTCTAAAACAATACTACATATAAGTAGATCAGCCAGCCAGCTACTACAAGTTAAGTGGGTCAGCCAGTTAGCTACTATACGTAGGTAGGTTAGCTAGCCAGCAACGAAAGTAAGTGGGTTAGTCAGCTAGCTACTACATGTAGCTGGGTCAGCCAGCCAGCTACTACATGTAAGTGGGTCAGCCAGCCAGCAACTAAAGTAAGTGGGTCAGCCTGCAAGCTACTACATGTAATTAGGTCAGCCAGCCAGCAACTAAAGTAAGTGGGTCAGCCTGCAAGCTACTACATGTAAGTAGGTCAGCCAGCCAGCTACTACATGTAAGTGGGTCAGCCAGCCAGCTACTACATGTAAGTGGGTCAGCCAGCTGGCTACTACACATAAGTGGGTCAGTCAGCCAGCTACTACACATAAGTGGGTCAGCCAGCCAGCTACTACACATAAGTGGGTCAGTCAGCAAGCTACATTTAAGTGGGTTAGCCAGCCAGCCAGCCAGCCACTACATGTGGGTCAGCATGTAAGTGGGTTAGCCAGCTGGCTACTACATGTAAGTGGGTCATCCAGCCAGCTACTACATGTAAGTGGGTCAGCCAGCCAGCTACATTTAAGTGGGTTAGCCAGCTAGCTACTACATTTAAGTGGCTTAGCCAGCTAGCTACTACATATAAGTGGCTTAGCCAGCCAGATACTACATGTAAGTAGGTCAGCCAGCCAGCTACTACATGTAAGTAGGTCAGCCAGCCAGCTACTACATGTAAGTAGGTAAGCCAGCCAGCTACTACATGTAAGTAGGTCAGCCAGCCAGCTACTACATGTAAGTAGGTCAGCCAGCCAGCTACTACATGTAAGTGGGTCAGCCAGCCAGCTACTACATGTAAGTAGGTCAGCCAGCCAGCTATTACATGTAAGTGGGTCAGCCACCAGCTACTACATGTAAGTGGGTCTGCCAGCCAGCTACTACATGTAAGTGTGTCAGCCAGCCAGCTACTACATGTAAGTGGGTCAGCCAGCCAGCTACTACAAGTTAAGTGGGTCAGCCAGTTAGCTACTATACGTAGGTAAGTTAGCTAGCCAGCAACGAAAGTAAGTGGGTTAACCAGCTAGCTACTACATGTAGCTGGGTCAGCCTGCAAGCTACTACATGTAAGTAGGTCAGCCAGCCAGCCACTACATGTAAGTAGGTCAGCCAGCCAGCCACTACATGTAAGTGGGTCAGCCAGCCAGCTACTAGATGTAAGTGGGTCAGTCAGCTGGCTACTATATGTAAGTAGGTCAGCCAGCCAGCTACTACATGTAAGTGGGTCAGCCAGCTAGCTACTACATGTAAGTAGGTCAGCCAGCTGGCTACTACATGTAAGTGGGTCAGCCAGCCACTACATGTAAGTAGGTCAGCCAGCTAGATACTACATGTAAGTGGGTCAGCCAGCTGGTTACTACATCTTAGTGGGTAAGCCAGCTAGCTTCTACATGTAAGTGGTTCGCAAGCTGGCTATTACATGTAAGTAGGTCAGCCAGCTAGCTACTATAAGAAAGTGTACAAACAACACTGAACTTTAGTCTAACAGCAGTGGCATCACAGAACAGTGGTGGGTTGTTAAGTTACCTCCAGTTAAGTAAGGGCAGGTGTAATGGATTCATCTATTTCTGAAATGTTCAGCAATTAAGGACAACAAATGCTGCAACAGTCCTAGGTAGACAACTGTCTGTGTCTCAGGAAGATACAAGTGTTGCAAATGTTGGACCTTCACAGAAGGCAGACAATCAATCACTCACTCACTTGCTCGCTCTCACACACGCACACACATGCACGCACAAGCCTGACACTAGAACATTCTGAACAAACATTCCAGGAAACTTACGGCAGTTTCTGAGGGTCCAGCTGTCCACAATGATGCAGCACGTCTGCCAGATGTGACACAAACCACCAACTTCGGCTGCTCAGGAAGGAACTGAAAGACAGAAAATGAGCAGGGCATCACTAGCTGCTGGCCAGGTCAAGAGTTTACTGTCAGGTGCCAGGCTGTACCATGTTTAAAGGATCTACTGGCCAGGTCAAGAGTTTACTGTGAGGTGCCAGGCTGTACCATGTTTAAAAGATCTACTGGCCAGGTCAAGAATGTGGTGTGAGGTGCCAGGCTGTATTGTATTATATCACCTGTATTGTATTATATCACCTGTATTGTATGCTGTCAATTATTCAAAATCATAGTTTATGTCAATTATTATACAAACACGTATCCAAGCACCAGTGAAAATCACCTTCACTCTCAACTGCTGGTGTCAACCCAGATAACCCTAGGTACAGACAGATAACCCTAGCCAGGGCCAGATAACCCTAGCCAGGAAAAGATAACCCTAGCCTATAACCCTAGCCAGGGCCAGATAACCCTAGCCAGAGCCAGATATCCCTAGCCAGAGACATAACCCTAACCAGAGCCAGATAACCCTAGCCAGGACTAGATAACCCTAGCCAGAGCCAGATATCCCTAGCTAGAGCCAGATAACCCTAGCCAGAGCTTAATAACCCTAGCCCAGGTCAGATAACCCTAGCCAGAGCCAGATATCCCTAGCCAGAGCCAGATAACCCTAGTCCAGGTTAGATAACCCTAGCCAGGGCCAGATATCTTTAGCCAGAGCCAGATAACCCTAGCCAGGGCCAGATAACCCTAGCCAGGGCCAGATAACACTAGCCAGGGCCAGATAACCCTTGCCAGAGCCAGATAACCCTAGCCAGAGCCAGATAACCCTAACCAGAGCCAGATAACACTAGCCAGAGCCAGATAACCCTAACCAGATAACACTAGACAAAGCCAGATAACCCTAGCCAGAGCCAGATAACCATAGCTAGAGCCAGATAACACTAGTTAGAGCCAGATAACCCTAGCCAGGGGCAGATAAATCTACCCAGAGCCTACAAGGGGACACAAGAAATATCATATTGAAACAACAGATAAATATGCAGACATAAGAACCACAATGACACAAGCCCACATATGGAATACAACAAGCTCGTATGGAACACAACAAGCCCAAATAGGACACAACAAAACCATATGGAACACAAGTAGCCCACCTAGAACACAACAAACCCATATGGAACACAAGAAGCCCACCTAGAACACAACAAACAAACATGGAACAGCCCAAGTCCAAACTTACCAGCTTTCTTTGATGACCTGGTGGATGTCAAACTCCCCACCTAGAACACAACAAACAAACATGGGACAGCCCAAGTTTATACTTACCAGCTTTCTTTGATGACCTGGTGGATGTCAAACTCTAGAGCTGCCTGCAGGATGTTGTCCAGCTCAGGGAAGTTTTCGCTGGGCAAGCTGTACACCGCCTGGCACGGCTGAAGACCAGTCAATATATACATTGAAGTGGCAATTTTATCAGTCATACACGTAACGTCACATCACCTCTACTGTCACCGCCAAATTTGCCTTCAGGCTACATTTACCACTACAGCAAATTTAACAAGTTAAAGAAATTTCTGTACAAAAAATTGTCTTGTCAGTGTATGGATCTGGAACATGTTGTGTGTGAACATTTTGCTATTCAGTCGTACAAGAGGTCAGAGCGATGATCATCTACGCGAGTCGTAAGGGCGCTAGATGATGATGATGATGACAGTGATGAGTGCAAAAAGTCCACGCCGCTTAATGCGTGAGACAAAGGTTTCTTGAAATTAACAGGTCTCTGCAGGTATTGTAAGACCCAAGCGTGACTAGTCACTGAGCTGAAGGTTAACCCATGTGCAGTCAGTGCCACTCAGTCAGTTTTAGTGTGTGGACGCGCTAAGCATGTTTTGTTCCAGTCCAATGTGTTTTAACAAAGTGTTTAATTCTGTTGGAGTGAATTGTCTAATGGTTTGGTGGACCATGAATTGGACTTTTGGGAATTCTGTCAGTAATGTCTAGAATGGACTTGTGTTGGCCAGGTGTTGTAGGGTTGACAGCGTTACAGCTATAGGACACCTGGTTAACGGGTTTCTGTAAGGGAATGGAAGGTGCCAGGGAACTCTGGGTGTCAACCAACGTGTAGTTGTGATGGAGGGAAAGTACAGGAAGCTGACTGACGAGATGGTTAATCAGGGATACTTCAGTGAGTGACTGGGACAGCAGGCAGTGGGCCTGGAGTTTTCACCAAGAGGTGCATCTATGTTGAGTTCTTGGTGACGGGGCCTTTACAGCAGCACCATCAGAGGATTGTCACTGTACTGTACATCACACAGCTGTATCTGCGCGGTCAGGTGTGAGCTGCCCATAGCAGGCACCTGGGACATAGTTCGCTGGGGTGTTTCGTCCATGTCTAGAGGGTCTGCTGATATGAACATTTGTAAAGGCAGTAGAAGACCCGACAGTGTGCCATCGATTACCACTCATCTTCGTGGTGACGTGTTGCATCCATAATAAAAGGACTCTTTTAGTGTATTGAATTTGACCTTGTGATTCTAGTGTTTGTAGTATGGTGTCAACTGAAGAACTTTTTGTATGTATGGACCAAGCCTAAACAAAACCCCTAGACATTTGGTAAATGTGCGATGCCTTGGACTCCTTAAGTGTTTTGTAGGAATATTGCTTCCCATTACTGTCATCTCTAAACCTCTGTGTTGTAGGAATCTTGCTTTCCATTACTGTCATCTCTAAACCTCCATGTTGTAGGAATCTTGCTTTCCATTACTGTCATCTCTAAACCTCCATGTTGTAGAAATCTTGTTTTCCATTACTGTCATCTCTAAACCTCCATGTTGTTTGATGTGTAAATTGTACTGAGGTCAACTTGAGTCTTTATACATTAAATATTCATTGTACTGAGGTCAACTCAAGTCTAGGCATATCAAATATTTACTGTGCTGAAGTCAATCTGAGTTTTGGCATATTAAATATTTACTCTACCAACTGTTTAACTCAAGTAAATATTCACTGCACTGAAGTCAACAGAAAAGTAACCACAGAGAATTCAACAAAAACAGTGACAATGACTGACCTTGATGTCAAAGGTGAGATCTGTGAGCCGCACCGTTGGGTTCTGATAGAACAGTTTGGACACCAATAAATGATACCAGGTCTCACAATGGTCCTTCATCTCTCGGAATACTGCGTCATCACCACACAAAATCTGGCGGTAAGAGCACAATAATGACATCAAACATGTCACAGTGACACTGGGGGATCCGTGTAGTAATGACATCAAACATGTCACATTGATATTGGAGGATCAGTGTAGTGATGACAGCAAACATGTCACACTGACATTGGAGGATTAGTTAAGTAATGACATCAAACATGTCACACTGGCATTGGAGGATCAGTGAAGTAATGACATAAAACATGTCACACTGGCATTGGAGGAGCAGTGAAGTAATGACATCAAACAAATCACACTGATATTGGAGGATCAGTGAAGTAATGACATCAAACATGTCAGAATGACATTGAGGAGCAGTGAAGTAATGACATCAAACATGTCACACTGCCATTTGAGGATCAGTGAAGTAATGACATCAAACATGTCACACTGATATTGGAGGATCAGGGTAGTGATGACATCAAACATGTCCCACTGACACTGGAACCTGGATGAGAAGCTCTTGTTAATTTGTCTGTCATGCTTTATAGTCTTACATTTGTCTTGGTTCACTGACCCATACTTTTGTCTTGGTTCACTGACCCCATTAACTGGAAGCTTTTTTAATGTCAGTGATCGTCAAGTGCCCGCCTTAAGCTGGGCAACCTCTAGCCGATAATGTGGTGATCTGCTACAGCCTGTATGCTCCAATGGGTGCTTGGATCTAGGACAAAATTAAAGTCAGAGGCTGCAAAAATGCAGGTGGGTCTTGCTAGTCCCACTCACAGGTCTTGCTAGTCACACTCACGGGTCTTGCTGGTCACACTCACGGGTCTTGCTAGTCACACTCACGGGTCTTGCTAGTCACACTCACGGGTTTTGCTAGTCACACTCACGGGTTTTGCTGGTCACACTCACAGGTCTTGCTAGTCACACTCACGGGTCTTGCTAGACACACTCACGGGTCTTGCTAGTCACACTCACGGGTCTTGCTGGTCACACTCACGGGTCTTGCTGGTCACACTCTTGGGATTTGCTGGTCACACTCACGGGTCTTGATAGTCACACTCACGGGTCTTGCTTGACACACTTACCACTGTCATGGGCTAGGAGTCCCGTGGCTTCTCATTGCACGCTATAACATGGAAAGGAGTCAACAATTTCTCATCTACATTCAGATCCCTTTAAAGTGTAGCACAACATAATGAACTTATCCGCCCTGTCTGAACATGAGCTATTCTGACATGAGTTAAGAAAAGAGTTGGAGCGCACAAAACTTACCTGCACTATGGTCTCCAGCTGCGTGTAAGCTGCAAACTCTCCAGCCTCGTATCTGCGGATGCACTCCTCCCTCCAGTGCCTCCACTTCATCTCGTACTCGGCCACCGACTGGGCCCGCTGATACTGATTGGGGGGGTTACAATAAAGATATTTCTCAAAGGAACCAAATTTGCAGAATACAATCCGTGTGTGTGTGTGTGCGCGCACGCCTAAATGCATATGAGTACTCTGCATAAAATGTATGTCTGTACAGATGAATATGAGTATATCACATATAATTTATGTATGTACAGATGCATTTGAGTACTATACATATCAATGATGAATAGTCAAATGATACCATGTAATGAGAGACATCAACTGAGATGTCTTACACAACAACAGGCAGGGACAGACATGTGGGGAAAGAACTGACATCACAGCACTCAGGACATGCTCATACTTAGTTCCGTCTCCCTCATTAACATCCAGTGAAAAGTCCCCACACTGAAGGTAGCCACTGTCATCTGGTGACCGCTCACCTCGCCTTGACCCCGAGACTCAAGTCACGCCCATGGCCTGCAGACACTCCCTGCTGCATTATTATCTCCAGATGTGGGTTTTCAGTGTTTTCCATTTTACTTGTGACATTGGCCCTACAGGCAAGAGATCACTTCTACCTTGTGCAGTTGAGTTGCTTCCCTCAAGTGGGGCCAGACCAGCCGGCCTATCTGCTTGCTCATTCCCAAACATGCCTGAATGGCCCGGGCAAAACATCACACATGACTCTCACCCCCTGTGACCTATGGATTGACGAGACCTTATCTATTTGAAGAAAATCTGCCATTCCCTTCTTGAGCATGCTCTGCCAAGTATCTGTTACTATGACAATATGCGTCACTGAGATTTTCTCAGTTACTGCCTCTTTCTCCATCATTATGCTGGATGTGGTAATGTTGTACACCAACTCTCCTCAGTACCCTTCTCCACTAGGCTTTCGCAACGAAGCCCCATCCACTCTTCTACCTCTGGCCACTGACCCATCAGTGTATATAATCACATCTCGTGGCTAGTGTTGTCCTCTATTTGCTGTTCAACCTCTGTGTCTGCACGTTCTGTTGCGCACTCCATGCATTCAATTCCCAAGGTAATTATCCCCCTTTGTGCAGCTCTTCTCTGCCTCCAGTATCTTTACCCATTTTTTCCCTTGGCTAATCGCTTTAACCCACTAACGGCCACGCCCCTTAATTCTTGCACTTTCACAGATAGCATGTATTTCACTGTTTACTACAAATGCCATAGATTTACAACCCTTCAACATACACTTAACATATTTTGTATTTTTGCATTAAACTGAAAAAAGAACGAATTTCAAGAACAAAATTGTAAAATCATGTTTGACATCATTATGTGACTAGACTGGTGTCAACAACAACAACAACAAAAAGCTACCTCTCACTTGATTTGTCCAACTCGGGAGAAAGACAAGAAAAACAAAACATAAATGGGAACTGACAATGAAGATTTGTCAAAAATGAACTATATGCACTATGGAGTTGTTTACCTTAAAGAAACAGAGAGAAATGAATGGGCTAAAGGCTTGAACTAAATTCATCAAAATAATCGCAAGCTGAACCTGGTGGCGAGCATCCAAGATGATGATCACAGGGGGTGTGATCATGGAAGCCGGGGTAAACATTGGCGGATCGCATAATATGCAATCAAGGTAGCAGACATTGTTGATTGTCTTTTTAGTCTGGGCCATCCAGGATCTGCCCCTCTTAGGTCTACCCCCTTCACAGTATCCCATTCCCCATGGACAGACAGTTACTTACTGTCCACTGGAAGTATTACACAATAACAGGCACTGACAGACAGTTACTTACTGTCCACTGGAAGTATTACACAATAACAGGCACTGACACAGTTACTTACTGTCCACTGGAAGTATTACACAATAACAGGCACTGACAAGCAGTTACTTACTGTCCACTGGAAGTATTACACAATAACAGGCACTGACAAGCAGTTACTTACTGTCCACTGGAAGTATTACACAATAACAGGAACTGACAGACAGTTACTGTCCACTGGAAGTATTACACAGTAACAGGCACTGACAGTTACTTACTGTCCACTGGAAGTATTACACAATAACAGGCACTGACAGACAGTTACTTACTGTCCACTGGAAGTATTACACAATAACGCACTGACAGTTACTTACTGTCCACTGAGGCATCTTTGACAACAGCTCATCAACACTGGTGAAGGGATCTGAACTACTGTGTATGTGTAGAGCTAACAGCTTGCGGACATTATCCACACTGCCCTGCAGAAGCAGTCTATATATCTGTGTAAAGAATGGCAGGGCAAAACTACGTGAGAAGTCTTGATAAAGCTTAGGTTACTATATCTGTGTAGAGAATGGCAGGGCAACACTACATGAGAAGTCTTGATAAAGCTTAGGTTACTATATCTGTGTAGAGAATGGCAGGGCAACACTACATGAGAAGTCTCTATTAAGCTTGTGTTACTATATCTGTGTAGAGAAATGGCGGACAAGGTTACATGTGAAAAATTGTCTACACTCATGTAGCAGTTATATGATGCGGTGATACATGTGGAGTGGGTGAGATGCTGCAGGCAACAATGTAGTACCATTTGTGGCCACCAAATGCCAATACTGCTCAGTTTGTCTGCTGAAGACACATCACAGAATTTGTCTTGCAGCCATCAGCTGGTACATAAAATATTTCTCTTATTATCCAGGTGCATGGTGTAAGAACGCTGCTGTAGGTAACCACAGAGAAGACAAAATCCACATCGTCAAGGGTCAGGACTGACTGTGAAGGGACCATGGTGAAAACATTGTCAGCCATGCAAAACAGCCAGGCCTGATTATAATTATAGTGATGCCATGAGAAGTTCAAGCTTCTGCCAGAACAGAGATCTGAACTATCCAGTGCTAATGTATACATGCCAGTTCACCAGAACAGAGATCTGAACTATCCAGTGCTAATGTATATATACCAGTTCACCAGAACAGAGATCTGAACTATCCAGTGCTAATGTATACATGCCAGTTCACAAGAACAGAGATCTGAACTATCCAGTGCTAATGTATTTATACCAGTTCACCAGAACAGAGATCTGAGCTATCCAGTGCTAATGTATATATACCAGTTCACCAGAACAGAGATCTGAACTATCCAGTGCTAATGTATACATGCCAGTTCACAAGAACAGAGATCTTAACTATCCAGTGCTAATGTATATATACCAGTTCACCAGAACAGAGATCTGAACTATCCAGTGCTAATGTATTTATACCAGTTCACCAGATCAGAGATATGAACTATCCAGTACTAATGTATACATACCAGTTTACCAAAAACAAACAAGACATCAAATTCACATGCACACATTGTTGCCTGCTACTGAAGTACATGTGGTTGTGTCCAGGGAACAGAATATCTTACAGTAGAGACCAGTGGTTAGCACATGCCATGTGTTCAAATTCCTCATCATGGCAGAGATTTATTGGACACTGACTAATCTTCAATTAATCAAAGAAGGGATTTACTGAGCACTGACCAATCCCCCATAATCAAAGAAGGAATTTACTGCTGCACTGACCAATCCCCCATCAATCAAAGAAGAGATTTACTGAGCACTAATCAATTCCCCCATCAATCAAAGAAGAGAATTACTGAGCACTGACCAATCTCCCGTTAATCAAAGAAAGGATTTTCTAAACACTGACCAATTCCCCCATCAATCAAAGAAGAGATTTACTGAGCACTGACCAATCACCCATCAATCAAAGAGATTTACTGAGCACTGACCAATCACCCATCAATCAAAGAGATTTACTGAGCACTGACCAATCACCCATCAATCAAAGAGATTTACTGAGCACTGACCAATCCCCCATCAATCAAAGAGATTTACTGAGCACTGACCAATCACCCATCAATCAAAGAGATTTACTGAGCACTGACCAATCACCCATCAATCAAAGAGATTTACTGAGCACTGACCAATCCCCCATCAATCAAAGAGATTTACTGAGCACTGACTAATATCACATCAATCAAAGAAGAGATTTACTGAGCACTGACTAATTCCCCCACCAATCAAAGAACGGATTTACTGAGCACTAACCAATCCCCCATCAATCAAAGAAGGGATTTACTGAGCCCTCACCAATCTCCCATCAAGGCAGGGATTTACTCAACACTGACCAATCCCACATCAATCAAAGAAGGGATATACTGAGCATTGACCAATCCCCCATCAATGAAAGAAGGGTTTACTGAGCACTGACGAATCCCCCTTCAAGGCAGGGACTAAACACTGACCAGGGCTGCTAGATATCAATCTACCAGGAAATAGTTAAATAAACAAAGACAGCAAGCGTCACATTGACAACATTCTCCACACTGGTCTGTATGGGGGTAGCACCATTTACTGACCACACCTCAGGCTGTTGTAAAGGTGCTACATGTTCTCTGGGAGGACACAAGTAATGAGGAGAGTATGAGAAATCAATGAACTCACAGACTCCCAGTAATGGGCATGAGAGCAGGGCTGTTCCGCTTGACTGACTTCCATTGCCTTCTGTTTTCCTTCTTGGAAATGCCAGCGCAGCCAGTCCAGTAGTGGGGTCAGAATGAGTCCACCTAGGGGAGAGAAATCATCACAACTGTAGCAACAACCAAGTTGTCTAACACTGGGGTCAGAATGAGTCCACCTAGGAGAGAGAAATCATCACAAATGTAGCAACAACAAAGTTGTCTAACACTAGGGCCAGAATGAGTCCACCTAGGGGAGAGAAATCATCACAACTGTAGCAACAACCAAGTTGTCTAACACTGGGGTCAGAATGAGTCCACCTAGGGGGAGAGAAATCATCACAAATGTAGCACAACCAAGTTGTCTAACACTAGGGTCAGAATGAGTCCACCTAGGAGAGAGAAATCACAACTGTAGCAACAACCAAGTTGTCTAACACTGGGATCAGAATGAGTCCACCTAGGGGAGAGAAATCATCACAAATGTAGCACAACCAAGTTGTCTAACACTAGGGTCAGAATGAGTCCACCTAGGAGAGAGAAATCATCACAACTGTAGCAACAACCAAGTTGTCTAACACTGGGATCAGAATGAGTCCACCTAGGGGAGAGAAATCATCACAAATGTAGCACAAACCTCTCCCCAGCAGCTAGTCATGGCTGGAAGCATTTCAGGATGGCTCTATGACAACTGAGAGCAATCAACCGTGGCATTCCATATCCTGTATTCTCATGGCTCAAATGAGATCCCTCGGATTGAGGAAGTCAAACTGGCAAGCAGACATGAGAGAAGCAAGAGTACGGAGCCGCGTGAACCAGTGGAATGTGGTGTGTGGCTGAGACATTCTAAAACAAGCAAGCAGACGCATAAACAGCAAGAGCTGAGTGGTATCATGACAACACACCTGCCCCAATATTCACATCTAATGACCTACTGACAGGTAGTTTGTGTATACTGTACACAGTGAAATGTGATCTACAGGTAGTTTGTGTATACTGTATACAGTGAAATGTGATCTACAGGTAGTTTGTGTATACTGTACACAGTGAAATGTGATCTACAGGTAGTTTGTGTATACTGTACACAGTGAAATGTGATATACAGGTAGTTTGTGTACACTTTACACAGTGAAATGTGATCTACAGGTAGTTTGTGTATACTGTACACAGTGAAATGTGATCTACAGGTAGTTTGTGTATACTGTACACAGTGAAATGTGATCTACAGGTAGTTTGTGTATACTGACACAGTGAAATGTGATCTACAGGTAGTTTGTGTATACTGTACACAGTGAAATGTGATCTACAGGTAGTTTGTGTATACTGTACACAGTGGAATATGATCTACAGGTAGTTTGTGTATACTGTACACAGTGTAATATGATCTACAGGTAGTTTGTGTATAACTATACACAGTGGAATATGATCTACAGGTAGTTTGTGTATACTATACACAGTGGAATATGATCTACAGGTAGTTCGTGTATACCATACACAGTGGAATATGATCTACAGGTAGTCAATGACGAGAGACTCTGTCGCAATTCACAAAACAAAGACAAATAAATAATGTACAAATTAATTTCTCCATCTTCTATCACTGTGTCTAGAGGCTTATCCTTCTGTTATCCCCTAACTGAGCATAGACCCTTAAGTTGTCCTATCCTATGGACATCAAGCTGTCCTATCCCACAGATATCAATTTGTCCTATCAGACATATATCAAGTTGTCCTATCCAACTAATGTCAAGCCGTCCTATCCCACAGATATCAATGTGTTCTATTCCACAGATATCAAGTTGTCCTATCCTACGAATGTCAAGCCGTCCTATCCCACAGATATCAATGTGTTCTATCCCACAGATATCAAGTTGTCCTATCCTACGAATGTCAAGCTGTCCTATCCCACAGATATCAATGTGTTCTATTCCACATATATCAAGTCGTCCTATCCCAAAGATATCAAGTTGTCCTATCCCACAGATATCAAGTTGTCCTATCCCACAGATATCAAGTTGTCCTATCCCACATATATCAAGTTGTCCTATCCCACAGATATCAAGCCGTCCTATCCCACAGACATCCAGGTGTCCTATCCCACAGATATCAAGTTGTCCTATCCCACAGATATCAAGTTGTCCTATCCCACAGATATCAAGCTGTCCTATCCCACAGACATCTAGGTGTCCTATCCCACAGATATCAAGTTGTCCTATTCCACAGATATCAAGTTGTCCTATCCCACATATATCAAGTTGTCCTATCCCACAGATATGAAGCTGTCCTTTCCCACAGATATCAAGTTGTCCTATCCCACAGATATCAAGTTGTCCTATCCCACAGATATCAAGCTGTCCTATCCCACAGATATCAAGCTGTCCTATCCCACAGATATCAAGTTGTCCTATCCCACAGATTTCAAGCTGTCCTACTGCATGAAGCTGATCCAAGGATCTACCCATATCTTAACTTCACTCTACAGCTCACTCCATGTTTTTTTTTGTTCTGCCCTTCTTTCTATGCCCCTGTGGGTTCCAGTGCAAAGAGATTCCAGTTACATCATTGTTAGATTTCTTAACAAGTGTCCTATCCAACGCCACCTGATTAACTGGAATTTGTTTAGGATTATATTTTACAGATTTATGACTGAGATACAATTATATAATGTCATGTCAATCAATAAATGTGGACAACATTACAAGTAAGACAACATTACCATTGGCCATGTTTACCTACCTGGATGAATGTCGATGAAGATGATTTCACACAGGCTCCAGATCAACTGTACCATCTCAAATTCTTGGATGTACTGCTCGTATTTTAACTTGTGGGCCTCATCCTCACACAGATCTGTCAAACAGAGATCAGAAGACGTCCAAGTTATGATGTTATTTGCAAACATGTGCTACAAAATGACCCAATACAATATGAACATACAGAGGTCAGCCCTGACACATCCATTTCAGTTTTGTAATTTTCGCTGGTCAATTGTTTGGTTGCATACACACAAGTGAGACTATATTCTCATACACCATAAAACAATAAATTTAAAGTTTTCATGTGACAGAAACTAATTTTGGAAAACCACAGACCAAGAAGGAACAAATAGTGACACTACACAATCTGAGGACAGAAGAAACCTGAAACACTGGGGCTGTGTGTCAGGAGCTGAGAGCCAACAGTGAGGAAGACATGGCTCCTGGTTGTGTTAAATGTCAGGAGCTGAGAGCCAACAGTGGGGAAGACATGGCTTCTGGTTGTGTTAGATGTCAGGAGTTGAGAGCCAACAGTGAGGAAGACATGGCTTCTGGCTGATAGGGCTAGAGGCATAAGCGTGAACAGCAGATATCAGGTACCCTGGTCATTGGTCAACAATATGGCAATGGCCACCAGACATCTTGGTCATTGGTCAATAACATGGACACTGGACACCCTGGGCTTGAAATGAGGTAGAGGTCAACATGTGGACACTGGACAGCAAATACTCAGACATGGGAATGAGCTAGAGGCCAAAATGTGGACACTGGACAGCTAATACCCAGACATGAGAGTGAGCTAGGTCAACATGTGGACACTGGACAGCAAATACCCAGACATGAGAATGAGGTAGAGGTCAACATGTGGACACTGGACAGCTAATACCCAGACATGAGAATGAGGTAGAGGCCAACATGTGAACACGGGCCATCAAAAATCCAGACATGAGGATGAGGTAGAGGCCAACACCCTGAATATCAGACACCCTGGACATGGAAAGGAAGTCAACATGTGGACACTGGACATCAGACACTCTGGACATGGAAAGGAAGTCAACATGTGGACACTGGACATCAGACACCCTGGACATGGAAAGGAAGTCAACATGTGGACACTGGACATCAGACACTCTGGACATGGAAAGGAAGTCAATATGTGGACACTGGACATGGAAAGGAAGTCAATATGTGGACACTGGACATGGAAAGGAAGTCAATATGTGGACACTGGACATGGAAAGGAAGTCAATATGTGGACCCTGGACATGGAAAGGAAGTCAATATGTGGACACTGGACATGGAAAGGAAGTCAATATGTGGACACTGGACATGGAAAGGAAGTCAATATGTGGACACTGGACATCAGACACTCTGGGAATTAGGTGAGGGAACGGCAGAACATTGAGTGTCTATCCACTGGACTCTGATGGACTAAGCTTAATCTGACATGAAGCAGACGATTGGATTCTGTATGAAGTGTGCTGCTCTCAAAGTGTACCAAGAAAATGTACATAGAACATTCAATGGCATCTCAACCACCAAGACAATGGACACAGCAGAGCTCATGGTGCCACTCCACCAGGTGGGATTAGGTTCATTCCTTTGCTGACTGATTTATGACATCTATATTTATAGAAACCAAATGTTCAACAATCACAGAAAGTGGCATTAAAACCGCAGGCCAGAAAATAACTGAACAACTTAGGAGAGTTTTACAGCTGCCTATGGCACAAGGGTAGTAACCCATAAGTGCCCCATTCTACTTCTAACTCAAGTCTGAGTCGGAAGACTCAGTGCAGTGCACAAACTCTGTAGCAGCGGCGAGGATCCTGAAATACTTTGGGTAGATTTTAAACTCTAAATTTTGCCTCAGCAGCACCGTTAGGCTACTTTTTTTTATTCCCAACTGCCAAGGGATTTTGTACATGCGCAACAATACACACGGGTGACCGACCTCACTACACAGAGACCAGGGGAAATTAGAAATCCCAGTGACAAAAATCCCAGCATTCGCCAGGGCTTTAACCCGGGACCTCCAGGACTCGATTAGGACGCCATGCCTCGAGACCACTCAGCACCCAATAAAAAGTAAGGTGGATTCCAGAGGTACAGCATTATACATAATGTCCGGCTCTCTAGTGCAGTTGGCTAAAGCGGACTGTACGGTGACCGGGTGATGAACTCCTTGTGGTCTGGGTTCACGTCCGGGTGTAGGCAGAAAAGCCACATATCTCCCAGATTTACGGTACCTATTATAGAATCAAGGCCAAGGATTGCGATTTCCATAGTACCGAGCCAAAGGGTTAAGAACTCATGGTTTCTGGATATAAAAAAAAAAAAAACATAAAATAACCACTGACCCGTTAGGGTCGTGGAGGTGTACAGAAGCACAAAAAACCTGCCATCTTTCTCTGTCTTCTGCTTGATGAATAAGCATATGATAACATAGTCCTATCCATTGCTTGATGTTTGCATTCCAGGTTCTTTGTTGCCCTCCTTTTCTCTCGACTACCATCCAATGTTCCTTGGGGGAGTCTTTGCAATCTAATCACGTCTCATCACATGCCCAAACCTATCTAGCTTGCGACAGTTCGCAAAAAGCAAGAGAGGTTCCTGATGTCCCACAATTTTGTATATTTTGTTTCTGACATATTTATTAGTTTCGTGTTCTAAATAGTGAGACATTATAAAAACAGCCGGTCAAAGGAAACTGTGGTACGGTAAAACCCAGGATAGAACTAAAGGTCAAATTATCAGAGCTCAAAATTAACAGCAAACAGGAGAAATTCTATGTGAATGTTTATATCACAGATTGTTTTCTTCTGAATCACTATGTTATTAGTAACTGCAGCCTAGTATACAGTATCTTCTTCTTTTGTCAATATCTGCTTTGTGTCTTTGGTGTTGCAGTTTAAATGCTGAAAAGCAGTCGGGACAGAGTGGGCTTGGTTGCCTGGAAAGCTGTGATATAAAGTAGATCCCTTTTCACATCTTTAGGCACATTGGGCATATGGGAAGAGCACCCACATTTTTTTTTACAGACCAAAGGCACTAGATGGGTAATGTGGTCAGCATTACGCCGGCCAAGCTGTGATATAATTTATGTAATTGTTCTCTACATGAACAGCGGAACTGGGTGATCATTGACACACCAGCAGCTAGGAAACTGGCATGGGTGTACAAAACAAAGACGAATCTCTGACACTGACATGACTGCATGACATGAGAATAAAGTTCGGTGAAGTATGTTTATGCCACCTTCGAGGCAGAGATAGGAGACATAACCAACCTGTCATGGGAACAATCAGTTGAGGTACCTTGTAGTGGCTGCTGCCTCAGAGGACTGAGCACGCTTGGGAATGCCCAATGTGCAGTGACGCCCATTGTGATAACATAACATAACAACAATGACATGAGAGGACAACAATAGTAGATGTGTGTCCATACCTGCAATTTGCATGAGCTCCAGGCTGCAAGCTTTCAACACAGCCCTGTACTGTTTGCTGGCCTTTCTCAACCTGTCCATGGACACACATGTTCATTTTAGCTGTTCATATAAGAAATCATATTCACACCAACTGTACACACGAGCAAAGATATTTACATCAACTGTACACATGATCACACATATTCACATCAACTGTACACACGAGCAAAGATATTCACATCAACTGTACACATGAGCAAAGATATTCACACCAACTGTACACGTTAGCAAAGATATTCACATCAACTGTGAGCAAAGATATTCACACCAACTGTACACGTTAGCAAAGATTTTCACATCAACTGTACACGTTAGCAAAGATATTCACATCAACTGTACACATTAGCAAAGATATTCACATCAACTGTACACATTAGCAAAGATATTCACATCAACTGAACACACGAGCAAAGATATTCACATCAACTGTACACATTAGCAAAGATATTCACATTAACTGTGAGCAAAGATATTCACACCAACTGTACACGTTAGCAAAGATTTTCACATCAACTGTACACGTTAGCAAAGATATTCACATCAACTGTACACATTAGCAAAGATATTCACATCAACTGTGAGCAAAGATATTCACACCAACTGTACACGTTAGCAAAGATTTTCACATTAACTGTACACGTTAGCAAAGATATTCACATCAACTGTACACATTAGCAAAGATATTCACATCAACTGTGAGCAAAGATATTCACACCAACTGTACACGTTAGCAAAGATATTCACATCAACTGTACAAATAAGCACACATATTCACATCAACTGTAGGCATGAGCAAACGTATTCACATCAACCCTACACATAAGCAAACGTATTCACATCAACTGTACACATGAGCAAACGCATTCACATCAACACAACATAAAAACTAACATTTTCTACTGCTCTCTACACAATAGTGTAGACAACGTAACTTGAAACTGACCTGGTTTACCACTATTCAGCTAACATGTGATCAGACTATTCGACTGCACAGCTCAAATCTGATCTGACTACACAAATGTACAGCCAAAGACTGACCTGACTACAGTACACAGTGATAACTGGAAAACTCACTGTTTGTAGAGCGTGGTGTCCGAAAGACTTTTGACTTGTCCCTGCAGCATGACGAAGATATCTGTGGAGACACAAGCTGTTTGTCACAGGCCACCAGAAATGTGCAGAAATCATAAACAGCAAATATAAACTAGTCTCATTCTGATGGGTTCAAACATCTGTGAGTAAATTAATGTCTTGTGTAAATGTGTGAGTGTGCCTGTGTGCACGCACACGCACACACAAAGGAGAGAAATCATGTCCAGGCAGAAAACACACTTCCTCAACTGACCCAGGTCAGCAGTGACATTATAGAACTATTTCCTGTAGCCATTAAACAGACAAATTGAGAAACATCTATAATATCAGCAGAAATGTTGTTTCACTTACAAATGTCACACACAAAACAGAGTCACACTCGGCAACATCATTTGACACATGGTGTTTTAGGTTCAGGCTTTGACTGTCCATAACAATGTCAGCATGTTCAGAAAGTTATTCAAGTCCTGAACTAAGAAAACAATTTTTTTTTTAAACAGTGCTTCCCTTATAGGAGCAACGCTTGTCAAAACTTACTGTGTGTTTCGTTGACCAGTTTTCTAGACACATCATGCATCTCTGCATTCCACTGAACATCAAAAATCTCCTGGTTGTCCACCTTGGGAATGTCAGTAACTAGAGAACAGGAAGGAGATTATTCATTCATTCATTTAAAACATATCCAGCAAACAGAGGAAACAGTTCGTCAAATATCCACTGAATTAAGAAATAAGAGTGCAAGTTTATAACATAAGTTTGTGTCCTGGTTTTCACCTCATTGATTGCCTGGAGTATAACTGATGACTGTGAAAGGCAATCACCGACTGGTTGTGCAGGAGTAGAAAATGTTTCAGCCAATGGTAAGCTTCTGCAACTGCACATAGACTTCTGCAACTGTACACAGACTTCTGCAATTGCACATAGACTACATGTTAATGTCTCAAGAAAACTGAAGCGATGAAAACTTCTAAGAACTTAGAAAAGATATAAAACTGAACAAAATGTATATCAGCAAGCTTCACAATATAGCGAACACAAACAAAATATGAATGTTGCGGCTATGGAGCCTTCATTAGCACATACATAAATAAAACAATACCACACAAATACATAAATATCACTTAGATAAGTACCTCAAAGCAGCCAGGTCGATGTCTTGTCAGTAGATCCTGTCTGGTGTTCAGTTTACTTGGTAACCACCAATGGCCCCAATATACCTTATGACTGAACAGGGTTTCTGGGATTTCTAAATGGGTGATTCTCATCTGAATAGTGACACTTTGGACCTTTATCACTGGGTGCTCATCAATTACTGTGCAGTCCCACTGGGGTCCAACTTCATGCAGAACTGACTAAGTGACTGTACCCTTGCCCTCATGGGGGTGTCAGGTATGCCAGGGAAGTGACTGTACCCTTGCCCTCATGGTAGTGTCAGGTATGCCAGGGAAGTGACTGTACCCTTGCCTTCACTAGGGTGTCAGGTATGCCAGGAAAGTGACTGTACCCTTGCCCTCACGGGGGTGTCAGGTATGCCAGGGAAGTGACTGTATCCTTACCCTCACGGGGTTGGCAGGTATGCCAAGAAATTGATTAAAGCCGCCATTACCGGTACCCTAATTATAACTTCCCAGGAGGTTGTAAGGGAGATCTACCCAGCTGGCATACCATCAGGATGCAAATCTTTGATCGACAGTTTTGTGACAGCAGCTTGGAGGTGGAGGCTGAACAGAATATCACAGACAATTGCCAGTAACAATGTTGGTAATGAGAGAAGGGGATGTGGGGGAGGGAAGCCGCATGAGCATAGATAACAACAGACACAAGCAGACCACTCACTGTGTTTCTTCTCTGCAACAATGCGAGGTGGTGTCTGGGTCTGGTAGACGTGAAGCTGTTTTCCCAGGCCCCAGACACAACTGAGACCCACGTGTCTCTGCTGCAGGACTGGCTGTGGATGACACACCTCATATGTACCGTCACACATCATGTCATGACACACATCAAATGTACCGTCACACATCATGTCATGACACAAATCAAATGTACTGTCACACATCATGTCATGACACAAATCAAATGTACTGTCACACATCATGTTATGACACACATCATATGTACCATCACACATCATGTCATAACACACATCGTGTCATTACACACATCATGTCATGACACAAATCAAATGTACTGTCACACATCATGTTATGACACACATCATATGTACTGTCACACATCATGTTATTACACACATCATATGTACCGTCAAACATCATGTCATGACACAAATCAAATGTACTGTCACACATCATGTTATGACACACATAAAATGTACTGTTACACATCATGTCATGACACACATCATGTGTACTATTACACATCCATGGAGGCAGGGGTTTACCAGTGCCAGCATTCCATGGTGGACAAAGGATATCAAGGATACCCTAGGCAAGCAGATGAGGTGGAAAAGCTGGCAAAAAGGAGTACCCACTGTACCAGCAATGTGTTAGGAAAGTTGGCAGAGACAACTACCCTGAAAGCACCAGCCACATGATGATGCCATTCATCATCATCCTCCTATTATGAAATTATACACCACCAGGGGCTCCCAGTCATCCTCCATTCTGTTATATCTGTGCTGGCCTCTCCATATCATGGACTGAATCCGTCGAACACATCCTCCATTCTGTTATATCTGTGCTGGCCTCCCCACACCATGGACTGAATCCGTCGAACACATCCTCCATTCTATTATATCTGTGCTGGCCTCTCCATACCATGGACTGAATCCGTCAAACACATCCTCCATTCTGTTATATCTGTGCTGGCCTCTCCATATCATGGACTGAATCCGTCGAACACATCCTCCATTCTGTTATATCTGTGCTGGCCTCTCCATATCATGGACTGAATCCGTCAAACACATCCTCCATTCTGTTATATCCTGTGCTGGCCTCTCCATATCATGGACTGAATCCGTCAAACACATCCTCCATTCTGTTATATCTGTGCTGGCCTCTCCATATCATGGACTGAATCCGTCAAACACATCCTCCATTCTATTATATCCTGTGCTGGCCTCTCCATATCATGGACTGAATCCGTCGAACACATCCTCCATTCTGTTATATCCTGTGCTGGCCTCTCCATATCATGGACTGAATCCGTCAAACACATCCTCCATTCTGTTATATCCTGTGCTGGCCTCTCCATATCATGGACTGAATCCGTCGAACACATCCTCCATTCTGTTATATCTGTGCTGGCCTCTCCATATCATGGACTGAATCCGTCGAACACATCCTCCATTCTGTTATATCCTGTGCTGGCCTCTCCATATCATGGACTGAATCCAGTCGAACCCATGTGCCATTCTCACATCAACGTGGGATTTTGCTGAAAATAATTGCATCAACATCGCACATCAAGGTAAACACATTTGCCCCAGTGAAGGCCGGGATTTTGTCATGTGGACCAAGTAACTTTCCCTGGTCTCTGAGTAGTAAGATCCGACAGCTGTGTATACTGTTGCACATGAATAAATCCCTTAGCAGTTTGAAATAGAAAACAGTAGCCTAACGGCGCTGCCCATGCAAAATTTGAAGTTTAAAATCTACCTAAAGTGTTTCAGGATCCTGGCCGGTGCTACTGCATTGTGCACTGCGCTGAGATTCTTCGGACTCAGGCTTGAGTCAGAAGTAGAACGAAGCCCTTACTTGTTACTACCTGTGTGCAATGATGTTGATCCGTTGTCTCAACCTAAACATCAACGTCCCATGTACTCACTGCATTATATGTATTGTATGCTTTACAGTTAGGCCTCACTGCCCCGATGGTTGTTATGTATAGTTGCTAAGAGATTCGTTAAAAAAACAGTCGTTATTGCCATAAAATTGTAACTGTTAATTTAGTCATTTCAAGCCTAAATTTTACTGGGACGCAGCTCGGAATCCCATCTATCAGCTTACACTATAAATAAGTCAATTATAGGGTACATTTTACGTTCCCGGAACAAGGATGATAGTGACTTCCCTTGCCATTCATGGCTTGTTGGGTCACTGACCTCTTCTATGTTGCAGGGGTGGCATGTTTCCCTTACTGTCAACCCTCTAACCGTTCCCTCTTCGCTCCTCTTCTCAGTGCTCGCTTTCATTATTTTTTTTTTTCATGTTCTGCCACCTGCACGATGGTTCAGGACTAGGGAAAAAGCAATATTTTTCTATTCCTACGTTCCTTGTAGCTGTTTTCTTTCTTTCAGAGGGAAGCCACCGCCAAAGAACACATATACAAAAACATCCCAGATTTGATACTGAAGAATCGTCGCACCTGCAGGGCTTTTAACCCAAAACACCCCCCACCCCACTTAGGAGTGGTCCTACGACCCATGAATGACAAGGGTCACTCTCATCCTGGCCGAGAAACGTGAATAGGACCAATTACAAAATAATTTGGGCCCTCCGAACTTCGTCCCCATATTATGGCGGCAAAACTAATACCCTAACAGGGCCTCAGTCATGTGTAAATTGCGGAGTTCTGCCGAGGAAGAAATCCTAGCAAAACTAGGATTACTTGACAATTTTAAGAAACACAACACTGCAGGCCGTTGACAATTTTGAGCTTTTCTGCAGACGATACTAGCTTCTCACACTTTTCGGCATGCACAAAATGCGGTTAAAATCACCGCAGAGCGTATTCCCCATGCCGTTACGCGTCGCATGGATGAGAGGCTAAACTAGATGGCCGGAACTCATGAGCAGCAGCTACCGCATCTCCTGCAACTTCCTCCAATTTATTTGCCATCAAGTTTAGCCACCCATCCGTGCCGCTATGCGCGGCGCGGAGAATTCTGTCGGCGGTGCTGCATGGTCGCAGAAACAATTAACATATCGCTGAGACCATGTGTGGCGTGCGACGGCTTGCTGAGAGATGTAGGTTCCCATTGAAATGTGAAATCAGGTACAAATGCATACATCTTGACAGAGAATACAATGCCACCAGCCAAGTGTGGTAGAACAGTATGAGCTCCAATGTTTCCAAACGCAGTTAACGCTGACTAGGGAAAAGAGTAATTGGTGTATTTGTTGACAATGATCAATTAAAAATGTACAAATAATAGAACTATTGGTGAAGACTCACCCAAACACGCCCATACAAGTAACCACTCATACATCCTGACGGATAAATTCAAATGACATCTTCAAATGATAGGTCAACAGCCCAACCTTGGAAGTCCGGACAGTCGCATCGATCTCCTCTTCTGCAGTCTCAACAGGGCAGTGTCCCTCTTAATCATTCGGCCTTAAAGTTTACCGGCTTCCTGCCAAGCGTAATAGACAATGTACCAGCTTTCGGCTGAGGTTTCTAGTGGAGTCCCGGAATAGAGTGTCCTCAAGGATCCACTGAGACACGTCTGTCTCTTCCAGACTTTATACAACGAATCCTTTCCGTGGTATCCCAGGGTAGAGCATCCTCAAGGATCCACACCAAGGCAGGACCACACGTCCGCCTTGGGCAACCTTCGATTACCATTCCTTCCGTGGCATCCCAGGGTAGAGCATCCTCAAGGATCCACACCAAGGCCGGACCACACGTCCGCTTGGTCAAACTTCGACTTTCAATCTCGTAGAATACAATCACTTAACAACATTACGTATTGTTTTGACTTCCTATTTGCTCACTCAGTACTGGTGCGTTCTAGTGTATAACTATATCCGCACGCGAAACCCTGTTAGAGTGTTTGCTCTTAATAATATTAGCCCGTTATTCGAAGGCACTCCTAGTTTTGCCACGATTTCTTTCTCGGCAGGAACTCCGGAATTTACATATGACTGAGGCCCTGTTAGATTATTTGTTTTTAATATACAGCAGGGGACGAAGTTCGGAGGAGAGCTATTTGTCTCTGTCTGCATGATGGATCCCCCATCTCCGCTTACAATTGACTTACAGGCTTCATTTGTGTAATCTTGAATTGGTTATTTTAATTTATATCCAGCAGTGATAGTTTCAAAAGTATAAACCTCAATACATAAAACGTCATCAGCATATCTAGTGATATAATAATAATAATATATATATTTTTTGAAGCCGGGAGAGATGAGAGCTCAGAGTGAGATGATGATGACGGACGGGACTTACTTCTCCGATATATAAGGAAGCTTTTTCAGTATTAAATAAAAACACAGCTCTGAGACCGATGACAAACTAAGAGAAATGTATTTAGAACAAGTATACCACTCATATTTTCTTTTAAACAAAAACAGCATGTGAACTTTACCAGACAAAATATTTCCGATTCGCGCTCGCTGGTGGTCGCCATCTTGCTATGGAACTCTCATCAAGAGTTCTCTCCCTTGTCCATTGTTTTGTTGTGGTTGGGTGTGTGTGTCGGGGGTGGGGCGCTCCGTGTATACTATACACCTTCAGTTCCAGCAGTCAGCAGCCGTCGCCACGATTAAGGTTGGCTGCAGCGGATCTCCCATAGACTCTTATCTTTCGCCATAGACTGCAGTTTCTAAGACAGCTGTGTCTATATGTTGCGTCTGTTTGTTAGGTGTTCTGTCTGTGAGTGTGTGAATTCATGTGTTGTGTGAGTCTGAGTGTGTTCTGTGTCTGTGTATACGTGTTGTGTGTATGTATATATATGTACTAGAATCGCTTTCAAATCTAGCTGCGACTCGCTGCAACCCACGGCCGGTGTTTGAAACCGGGCGGTTCCCGGAGTTCACCCAGCCTCTGAGAGATGGGTACCAGAGTCGGGAGATGTGAATCAGCGCCATCGCACACGGTTATCAACCAGAAGTGCTCTGCCAACAGTGCGAACATTCTATGGTAAATGAAGGAACGTCGCTGTAGCTACGGAATTGGGTGCAGACGGCGACCCAGGCGGATAGTTCCTTTATATATATAGTTTCTACGTGTCTTTTGTGATGGTGTGTATGTGTTGTATATTTGACTGATTTGATTCAAGAACCGACATCACAGCAATCATGGCATTTTCATAAGCGCTTCGTCCCCATCTTCAGCAGCAAGCAAAGAGTTTCAATACTAATGGTGTCAGTAGCATTCTGATTAAACGTCCGTTTTGCCTTTCCTCTGAGCCTCGAGTATCTGCCAGAACCTCTCGTCACCCCCAGCCCCTCCTCCCATCCCGCATCAATCTCACCAGACTGGTGATTTATCTGCTCCTCCTAACTGTACACGCTCTCCCACAAGGCACTAACATTTTTTGCATTATCACCACTTTTGCCTTATGTATCAGTATTCCACCAAGCTGAGCAGAGCCAGCCAGTGTGTCCGCCTGTTCATTTCCCAACATACCGGAATGCCCTGGTGAAAAAACCCAGACATTACTTCTCACCCGTGTTCTCCTCCGCGAGGCATGCCACTTTACACGAAGCATGCCTGTCCTGATCTTCCTCAGCATGCTTTCTGAATCAGTTACAATCACGATGTGTGTGTGTGTCGTGTTCTCTAGCCAGCAGAAAGCTGCAGTGACCGCCTCCACCTCCATTCTTAAGCTTGATGTGGTATCATACGCAGGCTCTCCTGCACCAAACAACGACCATAAACTTTTACTAAGAAAACCCAAGCACTTCTTTTGACTCTTGACACTGAGCCATTTGTTTAAATGATCAAATCCTCTGAGCGAGCATTATCTTGAATTCTTTCTTCTTTTGTCAAAATCTGCTTGTGCCGCTAGGCGTCGCAGTCTATCAGATTATCGGCAACCGAGCCAGGGCGCGCTCAGTCGCTTCATATGCCGTGATGTTATGAAGTCTCAAGTTGTCCGTGACTCCTTCAATCCATCTTCTTCTTGGTCTTTCCCTGCCTCTTGGTGTTTCGATTCTCATGTTGTATGCTCTTGATGCTGGCATCGTTGGTTCCATTCTCATTAGGTGACCAAACCATTTCATTCTTTGCTTCTCAATAAATTTAACGATGGGTATGCTTCCAATAGTTCTTGTAATCACATCGTTTCTCACTCGATCTCTTCTGGTTTTATTCGCAGCCATTCTCAAACATCTCATTTCACAGGTGGTTAGTCTTCTCTCGTGTTCTTTTGTTAATGTCCAAGTCTGACATTGATATCCTAATGTCGGTATAAAGATTGTATTTATAATTTGTCTTTTTATCTCAGCTGGGACAGCAGGGTGTTTTAAAATTGGAGCAAGCTGGTATGCGACATTGTTGGCTTTTTGGATTCTTACTTCGATCTCTCTGTCTATTTTACTATTGAATGTAAAGATACTTCCCAAGTATTTAAATTCTTGCACTTGTTTTAGGCTGTGATCTAGAATCTTTATGTCGGTGGTCTGTTGCTCTCTACTTATGCTCATGACTTCTGTCTTTTCAGTATTGATCTTCATATGATGGTTGAGGCAACTGTCGTGTAGTAGGTTTTATATATATCAAATATCTTGAATTAACTGCTGAATTTCCAACTCTGTGGCACCTACTGGCAAGTCTCTGCATTCCCGGCTCAGTGTAATTGTGACCCTACACGAGTCTGACTGTTCAGGTGGCACTTTGACCCACTCCTCTCCTCGCCTAATGTTCTCAAGGATATAAACCTGTCTGATTGCTGTGTCTTCTGCCTGAGCCATCCATGACTTCCCTCTTATCAGCCGCTGCACCCAGAGCTTTTCGTGCAAAGGGTGGTCTGTGTTACACAGGACTGCCAGTGACAGCTGGCTGGTGAAACTGTCACGGCTTCTGTTACTCCACAGGACTGCCGGTGACAGCTGGCTGGTGAAACTGTCAGGGGCTGCTGTTACTCACACAGGACTGCCGGTGACAGCTGGCTGGTGAAACCATCACAGCTGCTGTTACTCACACAGGACTGCAGGTGACAGCTGGCCGGTTTATTCTTCAGAAGTTAGTCAGTTAGTTGGGTTATCATCATTGCACTCCGGACATGTCCATAGGTGCTCAGATCCTCCCCTCAGCATGAACCCCAACGCCCGATGGCTAATAGTACCAGTTCTATGTTGATTAACAAGTCTTCTGGTGTGCGTCTAGTTTTTTGCTATGCCGATTTTAATTCCCAAGTCTGCCATTCTGGCAGAAGTATTCTGCTCATGAACCGACGCTGCCAGGACGGGAATGTGAAAAGACAGGCTTTCTCGGCCTGCATGCCAGATTCCATTAGATCATGTCGTTGTTTAGTTGAGAGTATTATTATTATTATTGAGCATTGAAAACATGTCAACTTTAATTTCAAATAAATGCTGTTTTCTTGGTACTGAACATAGAGGTGAAAATGTACGTATGTATTTGAAAAAGCTGAGTGGTCCCCATGTCCTTTGCTCCTTGACTATCGACCTTGGTCCTGTCTGACTGAGCTGTGTTTTCTTTAGGTGTATTAAATATGGCGGTCAAAGAATAACTTTATTGTCGTCTGTTGTGCTTGAGAGCCTATTGGCATTTCCTTCATCATCACATTGTTGTGTATGGCGTGTGTAATAAAGTCTATTACTGATGTACCTGAATCAAGTGGGCCTCAAGCTATTGTCATTCCCTAGACACTTATTTATTAGCCATACAATAACCTATAACATAACAAACAACCTAATTAGTCCCCTGCTAGGACATGTATGCTAGGGGCCTGGGCCTCCCCCCCCCCCCCCTACCCCTCCCATCTTCCGTGTTCAAAATTGAGCCCCAGAACCCATATGGGGAACACTGCAATGTCACAAGCCAGGCCAGACATCCATCACCGATGGCCAGACAACTGCTGCCCAACCACCTATAGACACCTATGTTCATAAACATGGGTGTGGATACAACATACCTGTCAATAACCACAAACAAAAGCTTCATTGTGCTGACAGCTGTCACATGTTTTATTCATCTCCAGATATTGTACAACACGTCATGATTATCCAGATATTGTACAACACGTCAACATTATCCAGATATTGTACAACACGTCAACATTATCCAGATATTGTACAACACATCAACATTATCCAGATATTGTACAACACATCAACATTATCCAGATATTGTACAACACCTCAACATTATCCAGATATTGTACAACACGTCAACATTATCCAGATATTGTACAACACGTCAACATTATCCAGATATTGTACAACACGTCAACATTATCCAGATATTGTACAACACGTCAACATTATCCAGATATTGTACAACACGTCAACATTATCCAGATATTGTAAGATATGTTTTTTTTTAAGTGCACAATTATAATCTTTAAAAAAAAGGACGAACTGGATGCTAAAATAATCCTGTTTGGTAATAATGCTGAAAAGTCAATAAATACATATATATGTTGTTGGTCAAATATGGGTTACATCAAATATATAGTTTATATATTGATCATAATTGTAACATTTGGTATATTGAGTAGGCACTTTTCTCTTGGAGGATCCGAAACAGAAAACAACAACTCACATACATGATTAGTAAGCAACAACTCATATACATGATTAGTATCAAATAAGATAATCAACTTTGTATAAAAAAAAACATCCAGGTATACCTAGGAGCAGGTTGCACAATGACTAGGGTAGCTGTCTGTGACAACTGCAGGCTTGGGTTCCCAATGAGCTCGAGACACAAGATCTTAGCAGTTTCAGGTGAAATCAAATACCTGGCTTCAATGTCCACAGTTGCCAGAACATCCTTCCAGTATACAGCTGTGAGGACAGATCTATATTGTAATCATAGTTTCTTCATGTATACATCTGTGTACATAGTTTCTGTATGTATACTTCTGTGTACATAGTTTCTGTATGTATACTTCTGTGTACATAGTTTCTTTATGTATATTTGCGTATATATAGTTTCTTTACGGATATATCTGTGTACATAGTTTCTTTATGTATATCTCTGTGTGTATATATATATATATATATATATATATATATATATATATATATATATATATATATATATATATATATATATATATATATATATATATATATATATATATATAGTTTTTGTATGTATACATCTGTGTACAGTTTCTTTACGTATATCTCTGATGGGTACATATAATTTCAGTGTGTATCTCTGTGCACATATAACATGTTTAGGTACATGTCTGACTGTGTACATATAGTTCTTCATGTATATCTCTAGGTACATAATTTCTTTATATATATATCTCTGAGTGTGTACATATAGTTTCTTTGGGTATATCTCTGATTCTGTACATAGTTGCTATATGTATATCTATGATTGTGTACATAGTTGCTATATGTATATCTCTGACTGTGTACTTAAAGTTATTACATGTATATCCGTGATAGAGAACATTTAATTGGAAGAAATTTAAATTAGGTA